ATAATAATAATAATAATAATAATAATAATAATAATAATAATAATAATAATAATAATAATAATAATAATAATAATAATAATAATAATAATAATAATAATAATAATAATAATAATAATAATGAACTTGAGCAGAAATTATTGAATTAAAAATGTGTACCCTTATTTATATAATGGAAAAAGACAATAGGCCTATAATCAAAACATTTCCAGTGACTGGAAGTGTTTCTCTGTAAAATAATGGGTAACATTTTCTAATAATATTTCTATTTTCTAAGAATTTCTGTTTTGAAGTTGATAATTAAATTTATTTATGTTAGCCTACTTTATACCTACTTCAAAATAAGTTTTTTAAATGATTTTTATTTTGGTATTTTGCATGGGACACACGTTTACTTGGCTTTTTTTCTCATTTTTTTTGTATTACCATCAACATATAATACAGTAAGTAATGAAATAAATAATGCATAAACATTTGGAAAATAGATCGAGAATGTATTGATATTCTTTGGGATTTGGCCTGTCAATCAATAATCAAGCAAGGATTCTACACACATGATAGTGACGTGTACACACAAAACAGCTGGCAGAGCTTAGTACTTCTAGGCCTAGCGCTAACATAGAGTGTGGTGTATGTGTATGCCCATGCTGCAGGCTCTTAGTACACTAGACTCTCCGTTGGCGATTTCTTATGTAGATATGGCTAGGCCTAGCGTCTGCCTCTGATGCACAGCGATTTCAATATTTAGTAGTTCTGCGGTTATTGATCCGAATGAAATGAATTTTTAAGGTTACAAGTTAGTCTGTGGAAAGTGTTGACAGTAAGAATTTTAAAAATGAAAAAGTACTATGCTGTTTTCGGTTCTCTTATCTTTTGCGTTGGATTTCTGTCGATTTATATGATGCTGGACCAAGCTTCGCTGGACACATTTTCTGGTGGAGCAGGGGGAGCGATGTCTCAGGTACAGATAAGCCTAGGCATGGTTATTCGGGTATTCACTAGGCATAGCCCAGGCTTAGTCTTAGAAACATTAGAATCCAGATGGGCCAGGCCTATACGTTTTACAAGTCTTGTAAAGTGGCTTGATCGGTAGTGTACTGTTGAACATATGTTGCTTTGCCTTTAAAAAAAAATATAATTTATAATTAATTATAACCAAACCTAGGCCTAGGCCTAGGCTTAGCTAGGCTAGGCCTTTTATAGGCCTAGGCCTAAACTATTTTATACTTGTTTTTTATTGCCTATTGTTATTAATGTTATTAAAATTGGCACTGTAATGCACTTTAGATAGTACTCGGCCCCTAATATCCCCCTCCCCTAAACCTGTCCCTCTAGGTAGGCACCTATTTTAACCTTAACCTCAGTTGTTATTTTAACTAATTTCACTAGGCCCCCAAGTAAAATATATGATTACACTGATATACTAATAATTATTTTATGTTGTTATTTATTGCTTATATCATTCAGAGGGAACTTAATGAAATAGGAGCAAAAATAAGTGATTTAGAATCCAGTCTAGCCCGTCACAAGGAGAGTGTTAAGACCTTGCGAGATGCGTTGCGTGCTCTAGCGAAGGGTGACGATACATTCCAGATGGACAAATTGGACTTGGGGATTGGTGATGCTCAAGTGAACCACATTAATTTCAACAATCAGGGGGACAAAGCAGCCACCTTCAATAAAGCTGTGAAGAAGCAGACGTCTTCAGCGATCAAGCATGAGGCTATTGATTATGGTGTGATGGACAAGGGTGAAATGATCTTTGCCCAAGTCGATACAAATGAATGCACGTTTGCTAAAACTCCTAGTGGCAACTCGGCCAACATTCAGGTATGTATTATCAATGATCATTGTTTTCTCTTATTCAGTTCAATTCAATAAAGATTTATTTGGTAATTCTCTCAAAATATAAGAGAAGTGACCAAGGAGCCCGCAGAAGAAAACAATTTCTGTCGGGGTGTACCCATTACACAAAACACAAACAAGCAATTATCAATATACTTGTACATACATCCCTTCGTCCAGCTCAAAATTTATTTATTCATTCATTATTAATTTATTCAAAGGGTCTGATTCCATAAAAGGAAAAAAGAGAGAAGAAAAGAAAGAAGAAAGAGGGGCGCACAGTACTCTAAAACAAGCTATTTTTCGATTGTATCAGAGTTTATGTTCAAACATTTCAACAAATTTCTCATGCACCACCAAACTTTTTCTTCCACCCGCTCGGTCCTTTGCATGTCACATGGCCCCTTCCCAGATTTTTCTCTGGATCTGCCCCCTCCCCCGATTCATCTATTAATTTCCCCCTGGACCCCTGAGCATTGTTATTGATGATTATGATATTATAGTTTCCTACTTTCCAATTTTTCTCCAGATGCTGGATGTATTTGATAAGCTACCGTTCAATAATCCTAACGGAGGTGTTTGGAAGCAAGGTTTTGATATCAAATATGAGGAAAGCAACTGGAATGATGAGCCATTGAAAGTGTTTGTGGTTCCACATTCCCATAATGATCCTGGTTAGTAAACACATTTACTGTAAATGCTCGAATAGGTGGTGCTCTCGAATAAGCGCACTGAAGCCTCCAAAAATTGTATAAGTTCTACTGCACTTAATATTCAAGCGGCACTTATTCAAGCATTTACAGTATCTACAACATGTGCAGCCTGACATCAATTTTGTTGAGGCCCACATTAAAGCCAGGGTCCGGAGAAACCATAGGCTTAGCCAGCGAGCCGTCCGGCCGTCTTTTGGACGGCCTACAATTATTTAGGATGGCCACTTTTACCGTGACGACTTGGACAGCTTGGCCTAATCAGTTTGGCCTAGCCTAATTGGGCCTGGCTCACCTTTAGCAAATTTTTATATTCCTCAAATCTTTCGCATTAAACTAAAGCTAAATAATATTTATGTTTGATAAAAACAACATTTATTGATTAAATGTAAGTTGTTTTCTTGGTGCCCTGAGCAAATTTTTATATTCCTCAAATCTTTCGCATTAAACTAAAGCTAAATAATATTTATGTTTGATAAAAACAACATTTATTGATTAAATGTAAGTTGTTTTCGTACTAATATTCGGTTGGGATTCCCAAAGATGGGCGGGGCATGGCCCGCCAATTGGCTCGGTGCCACGCCCACTGGCTTCCATTTTGGATGGCCTATTTCGTTTTTCTGGCTAAACCCCAAGGAGAAACAAAACATTTTGATATGCTATGCAACTGATTTTTCTGAGATGCAAAAGGGTGTTTGCTGAAAAACTTGGGAACAATCACCCTTTTTGATCAGAGTAATTAAAATTATTAACAAAGATATTACATAATAAACAAAACCCAGAACATAAGAATGTACAAAGTAAATTTAAAATTTATCCCTTGTATTGTACGTAAATGTTTTGAATTTAATTTATTTTTACCTTACCATTATTTTAACTTTTAACATGTTGACTGCTAACCCTTTTCCCCTAGTATCATCCCTAGGCATAAACGGCGCTCCATTAAAAAAATTATTCCCATCAACTGTATAATGAAACACGAAACATAGATCATTACTTCAGGGTTCTTCCCTGGACCTCCAGGGCGAGAGTTCACGATCTGGCGAACACTGCCAGCAAGTTTACGTGCAATACAAATAGTGGTATGTGTAGACAGGTGCGGACATGAACTCTATGCCCTTGGTGCCCTGAGCGAATACTGTCAGGCGTGAACTTGCATCCTTGGCAGCGAACAAGTTAATTGAATTTTTAAGGTTTTTCAGATTTTACCACAGACAGAATCCTATTCATCTTTTATTTTTAATTATCTGTTTCCTTTGTGTTATTTCTTTCCAGGTTGGATTAAAACTCTTGATAAGTATTTCCAAGACCAGACAAACCACATACTAGACAACATGGTTGTAAAGTTACTGGAAATGCCGAAAATGACTTTCATGTGGTCAGAGATTTCATACCTATCTATGTGGTGGAAGAAAATTGATGAAAGAAAAAAAGACATCACTAGAAAGTAAATACATACTAGTCAATTAAAATTGGTAGCAATGGTGTGTGTTTGTGTGTGCGTGTGTGCGTGTGCGTGTGTGTGTGTGTGTGTGCGTGTGTGGTGGGTTCTCAAATTGAAGGGCGAACTGAATATAATACAGTGTAATATCTTATTTACCAACAATTTTCTTGCAGACTTATAAAGGAAGGTCGTTTAGAAATTACCACAGGAGGCTGGGTAATGAATGATGAAGCAAATACTCACTATTATGCAATGATAGACCAATTAATAGAAGGCCATGAATGGTTAAATGCTCATATTGGTAAGATATCATCTGATAGTTTCTGCAATAATTTAAATTATGTCATTTTGATATAAATCTGCACAATTGCAGAGTTAATCAGTAATTACACAATATATATGTAACCGACAATGTTACGAAAAGATTTCCTAAAGTGTACTTAATGCACTGCCAAAGAGAGTTTTGCAAAATTGTTGTATTTCTGTATAAAAGTATACTGGTAAGATGTCAATTTTTTTCATATGAAATTTATTAGTTTCTGTGGCACTGCATTGAATTTACAGAGAATCACTATAAAAATACACTCGCTATATATGATAAACATTTTCTACATTGTCTGAGAAGCTATTATCATTATAGAGAGATCATTCATTTAATCACTAATATTATATTGTTTTTCTGCTAGGTGTTAAACCCAAGAATGGCTGGGCTATTGATCCATTTGGCCTGTCTTCAACCATGGCTTACCTCCTGCAACGCATGGGTCTAGAACACATGGTTATTCAACGTGCCCACTATACCATCAAGAAATACTTTTCATCGACAAAGAACTTGGAATTCATGTGGAGGCAAAATTGGGGTAAGTGTAAAAGTAGTAAAGTACTTACTTTTTTTCTCCTTCGTATCCAGTAGTAAAGAGAAAGTCCCATTATGAGTTTTATGCTCTGTCTAAAAAGCTCTCAAGGTTTATTGGATGCTGGGTGTGGGGTTGGATGGAAGATGTAATGTTATGCATTAATGTAAATCTTAACACAATTCAGTTTTGTACTTCTTTTTGATATTGAATTAAAACCAGAATATATGGGAGGCTTGCAATGCCAAAACTAGTATCAGTGTTCAAATAAGAATACATACATTTTTTAATATATTCATATTTTCCACTTTATAAGGTCACTGTTCATTTATTGAAATCGATGTACTATTGCTATTTTTATGAGTACTCAGTACTAAAATATACAATACTTCCACATTCCTATGCTAATTACTCAGTATAATATTTAGCGACAATATGCTGGTTTTTCTATGGCAAGCCTCATATAATTTATATTGTTAAATTTGAATATTATTGGTGTTTCACACTGTTGGTTTGGAATAAAGAATATAAATTTGTTTACTCCACACCAGACCATGGCTCCAGCACGGATATGTTCACTCACCTGATGCCGTTTTACAGCTACGATGTCCCACACACATGCGGACCAGACCCTAAGGTTTGCTGTCAGTTCGACTTCAAGCGACTTCCAGGTGGTCGTATCACCTGTCCGTGGAAGGTTCCACCAATCCCAATTACACAGACAAATGTAGAAGGAAGGTATGAAAAGAAAGTTTTATGGATAATTGTACTTGACTGATTACAAACGCTTTGGTAAAGCTGTCTTAAGCTTTGCCTACACTCTCAAATTTTACAACTTGTGTATGTACCCTTATATTGGCATGATAATGTCATATTATACCCAAATATGGGCATATCACATTTATTTTTCACATAAAACACATTTATTGGTCACATAAATTTTGATAACAAAATAATGTAAAGAATGCATATTACAAATTGCAAGACCTCATTTTGCAACCTAGTGCCACCCCGCACTTAATCATCAAACTCCCCCTCCTCCTTCATGCCCCTTGCATCTGCTCTCCCAAATCAAGACTCCTAGATACACCACTTGTGAATGAATAACTTATTTTTTATATTTGTTAACTTTCCATTACCTTGATTTTCTAGGGCTAGGTTACTGCTGGATCAGTATCGTAAGAAATCCCAACTGTTTCGTTCCAAGGTGGTGTTAATCCCGCTGGGCGATGATTTCCGATATGATAAAACTGTGGAATGGGATAATCAATATAACAACTACATGCAGTTAATGTCTTTCATGAACAATAAGAAAGACTGGCATGTGGAGGTAAGGTCTTGTGCTCTCCTTCAAAGTCAAAGTAATATTTATTCATCAAAGATATTACTTCCTGCTGTCTCAACTCATTTCTCAGTTAGATTTTCATACTTCCTCAAGCTTGATCCCGCCTATTATTCTCCGCGTGAAATTAAAACCACCTTACTTATATAGCATGAGATCATGGGCCTGTTTTCAAATAGTCTTTTCCATCTTCTTAAAATTTTGTTCTAAATCATTTTTGTTGTGTTGGGGGTGGAGGTGGGGATCCATTTTATATATATTGTGGTGATCTTGTGTATAATAGCCCTTGAAGGCTTAATTAATTAATTGCATTCAACAGGTTTGTAGATCTATCAATTCTAATCGAACAGTCAAAAACTGATCTCCTTTTCCTAAAATATAATTGCTAAATTCCTATATATACAGAAAATAGAAATATATTTTTAGATTATTTCCTAAACTGCCATTGGTGTACTTGTGTAGTGTATGTGTATGTTGGCCACACCAGCTTTATATTGTACAATACAAAAGAATATTATTTCTGAGAGTTTACCTATCTGTAACGCCATGTAAAATGAATATTTTCATGCATGGCAATGATTACGTTGAAATCCGTCATATATTTCTTGTTTTTCATTTAAACATTTTTGATTTACAGATTAAGTTTGGAACTCTAGAAGACTACTTCAAAGCATTGTATGAGACTATGCACACGGAACGAGGCAGCTTGCCACAGGGATTCCCTGTCCTCAGCGGTGATTTCTTCACATACGCAGATCGAGATGACCATTACTGGAGTGGCTACTTTACGTCTAGACCATTCTACAAAAATCTTGATAGAGTTCTAGAATCTCACCTTAGGTATTAATGATGTTCATTTGACTTCTGAAATATCAAAATACTAATAATACCTGTTATTAAAATGATAATGATAATTAAAGATTTGGTAAATTTAGCAAGCATCCACCATTACCAGCATTACTACTAGCATTGAAGAAATGGATCTTAAAGATAAACTTAATTAGTTACTAATTTATAAAGCAACTTGGCTCAATCAGCTAAACTGTGATAGCCACTTTGTCTGCACTGAATCATGGAGATCACTTGGTTCTCCCGGTTCAATTCCCATTGCTGCTCTGCTCATGTTTCAGCTGGAGGGCAAAACTGGCCGAACGGTGGGATTTGAACCAAATATCATCTGGCTACCATCAGATGCTCATCCATTTGAGCTATGGGGGCTATGTGGTACACACACAGACAGAAAACAGGACATGTTTTCTCAATTTACAGTAGAATGCACAATGAATACTGTAATAGTACAGCACGTTTCATTTGTTCCATAGGGCTGCAGAAATAATATACTCAGTTGCTGCGGCAACCGCTCGTCAACATGACTCGACCACATTCCCATACAACGACCTCATTCAAATGCTTCACACGGGCCGTCAAAACCTGGGACTATTCCAGCATCATGATGGAATCACAGGAACCGCTAAGGATCATGTTGTGGTTGATTATGGTATCAGGTAAGGTTTTCATTGACCTTTTTAAGGTCAGGTTTTGATTGACCTTTTTTAAGGTAAGGTTTTGATTGACCTTTTTTAAGGTCAGGTTTTGATTGACCTTTTTCCGCAAAGCCCCACCCCTTAGATATTGTTGCTAAGGTCTCACCAACGACAGTGTAGCAGCATACGCGCACACACGCAGTTGTGGGACAGTACATGTATTTGTGGGACAGTACATGTATTTGTAGGACACGCACATGTTGTTGGTCCTGTTGGGATTGGTCAGTTTGATTGACACTCTGGGAATGTCCATTAAGTGAAGATTCATTTCATCTTAGTCAACACAGTCAGGTTGATTATTCAACACTAGACTGACAATTAGCGGTGCTGATTTACACGCATGATTAGAAATACTTCCAGGGAAGCGGAGGAGGTTGCACTTTGTGTATGAGTGATTCTGTACCCAATGACCAGGGAAAACATTGCCTTGAGCAGTTTTCTTGATACCCCCCCCCCCCACAAAAAAAAAAGAAAAAAAGAAAAATGCTGACAAACTAAACAAAACTACTGGAAAATAATTTGTTTCTTATCTAGACTGTTGGCTGCAATTGATAATTCTAGAAAAGTGATGATGGAAAGCATTCTATTCTTATTGACGGATGATAAGAAAGTTTTTGCAAGGGACGTCAATTTCTTTGATGTTGTAAGTGATGTCGTGTTTGATCAAACTTATTTCATTTTTCAGTAGTGGTACAGTATTGGAGTAGATCATTGGCCAACTTTCAAAAGACTTGAAAGACGTTTGTGTGATAAGAATATCTGCGAAAACCAATATACACAAAATCTGACTGTGTATTACCAGCTTTATATAAGATCCTCATTGTTAATGACTGGTTTAGCTAATTAATTTCAAGATTAAGATATACATTTTGTAATGCTGGCTTTACTGAAGATCCTTTATTAATCACTAGTTTAATTGATTAATTAATTGTTATCTAATTATCTTTCAGAATGAAGATATACTCCATATTTTTAGTCTGACAAAGTTTGTCTCTGTTTTACTGAAAGATGCTAATTGTTAATCATTAGTATAATTGACTTATTTTGAATGTCATTGTCTTTAAGGATGAAGAACGCCATTCTCATGATTCTCTTCCCGATAAAAAAGTGGTGAAAGTTATGAAAGATGCTCCGAGGTAAGGAAAGTATCTTCCTTATTCAATTTTTTAATATGAATGCTTATAATTGTTGTGTTTTAGGTGTAAATGTTTATTTTATTAATTGCATTAATGTTATTGTTGTAGTAGCTATCTTCTTCGGAAGACACATGGTCGTCATTGGCCGGATCTGTTGACAAAATCACTGCTGGTGTTTACTTTGAGAGCCAAGATTTACCATGCTACACATATGTATTTCAGTTATCTTATTTTATTTTTATTCTTTTTAATTTTTTTAAATTTTGTCTTAATTTATAAAAAAAAACTAGCTTCCTGTAACCTTGGATGGGACCCTGACAAGTAATCCCCTCCCACTCCCACTTTTCGTTTGTCAACATGATTCTACGAGAAACATGCAATATTGATGTTGATGTTGTTGTTATTATTATTGTTTAAGATGCTGAAGTCATGCCTTAATTCAACAAGATAAAATTAACAAAAAACTAATTCTTTATTAGCATCATCATTCTGTACAATTCCATTGCTCAAGAGCGTGTTGAGATGGTTCGAATCCATGTGTCTTCACCAAATGTTGAAGTGCAGGATTCAGAAGACAAGGTGGTTGCCAGCCAGACAAATTTGGTTTGGACCAGCAAAGAAGGCTCATCTACAGATGTGTATGAGGTATGTATTTATTTTTTTAGCTTTAATTTAATTTTACAGAACTTATCACACTTATAGAACGATTATTATGACTTACTCCTAAAATGGTATTCTCTGGCGGAATTTTTTAGCTAGCACTTTCCCTTGTTGCTAGGCAAAAAAGAACAGTGGCTACTGAATTGCCATTCAGCTTAATTGACATAGAATGGCTGAGCAGTCAAGGCAGGGGCTCTGCAACCTAACTGCAGCCAGAATATTGGCGCTGGTCTGAATGGCACGCTCACCTATGGTTCTTGTGGTAGAACAAGTCTTCTCGGATAATAACTATAAACTGTAGGCCCAGTTTGCTCATTTCTAGTAGGGGATACCCCGGTGTACTGGTCCATGCAGCCCCTGCAGTTATGGACCATTTGCATGATGTACCTACGTAAACATAAACATCGCTCGCTGTAGTCAGTGGTGGCGCCAGGACCTGCCCGACGGAGGGCTAAAGGCCCCGACGGGGGGGCTAGTGGAGCGAATAGAGTCTCACTTGGCTGGGGGCCAGGGGGGCCGTCTAGGGCCGAAGCCCCCATGAATTATGGCGAATTCTTATTACTTATTTGATAGGCATCGAGTTACTATAATATGACTTCATGTAGGCTATGCTTTTTAATGTTGAAATCATCTTCAAAAACCAAAACATTTTGAACAAAGCAAGAAACAAATAGTATGCAATGTAACCATCTAATTTATTTTCAAATATAGTTTAATTTGATTGGTTGATATTTTATAATTTGTTGATATGATTGGTTAATTTATTTAGTTGAAATGACCTTGGTTGGTTGATATGATTGGTTGATATAATTGGTTGAAATAATTAGCAAGTATGATTGGCTGAAATAATTAGTTGATGTATGATTACGTGATGTTGATATAATTTCTTGAATTAATTGGTTTCTATATGATTAGTTGATTTATGAGAAATTGCTATATGATTGATTCACATGTGATTGTTTAATTTGATTAGTTGATATTTTATAATTTGTTGATATGATTGGTTAATTTATTTAGTTGAAATGACCTTGGTTGGTTGATATGATTGGTTGATATAATTGGTTGAAATAATTAGCAAGTATGATTGGCTGAAATAATTAGTTGATGTATGATTACGTGATGTTGATATAATTTCTTGAATTAATTGGTTTCTATATGATTAGTTGATTTATGAGAAATTGCTATATGATTGATTCAAATGTGATTGTGATGGTTGATATTTTATAATTTGTTGATATGATTGGTTAATTTATTGAAATGACTACTGATATACAAGAAAGTATAATACATACTCCAAGTATTGAAATACACGCCATCGTGTTGGGATTCAATATTTCGACATTAATTATGTCATCATCAGTCTTATCTGAGATTAATCAGTGGACCTTTCGGCTACTGATATATGATTGGTTGATATCATTTCTAAGTAAGTATGTGATTGGTTGTTGTATAATTGCTTGCTATATCATTGGTTGATATGGTTGACTGGTTTATTTCAGACTGTGACCACTAAAACTGATATGAAGGAGACAAATGTCGATGTAGAGTTTGTGATGTATGGGACAACAAACAAGAAAGATAAAAGTGGTGCTTATTTATTTTTGCCCAGTGGTCCTGATGAGGTAGTTAATTTTTATATTCTTTTTGTCTTGGGAATAAAATTACCGATGACCTGATTTTAGTAAGGGAAAGATTAATAAGAACTTACCTGTTTGAAAGATGATCAACAACCTGGATGTATACCAGTTTAATAATAATATGTATTTGTTCATTAACATATGTGGCAAAGACAAGCAAAAATAGTCACTCGTTGCAAAAATCAATTTTTAGTTATTAATACAGGGTTAAATTTTATTTTTGATTTTCTCCTCTGCTTAGATGCTTTTGGCAAAATTTGTGCTTTTTTTTTCTGCCCTCTAACAAACTTTAAAAAAAAAATATGTTTGCTAAGCAAGGTATTAAAGAAGACTTACCTAAGCTACATTATTCTATACACCATTTTATTTTAAAAAATTCTTTCAGCCACTGAGTTTATTACGGCCGTTGATACGTGTTATACGTGGCAAACTTCTATCTGAGGTTCACGTTATAAGTGAGAAAGTAGAACACACGATACGACTGCCAAAGTCAACAGGTCAGAGAACGTCATATTAATTTTTATATTTAATAATAATTAATATTATTTAATTTTTTAAATTGTAAAATGGAGCCAAAACCAACATTAGTGACCAAAAGAAGAAGACTGACTTTTTATGTATTCATGTTCTCCACATAATAAGCTTTTTAATATATTCATTTACTGGAATCAACTTACTATTGCCAAAGTTATGAGAAAAGCATTACAGCTTCTCTGTACCAAGGGGCCGTCTAGAGCCTCAGTCCAAGTCCTGGAATAGGAATAAAAAGTTTCTGGTAGGATTCACAGGAGAGTTTTTTTGGCTTTGTATGGTCCAAATTGTGCTTTTAAACCACAATAAGATTGGCAGTATGTTTGGATAGGCAAATTATGAAAAAGCTATTATAAAAAAGCTTATCCATGATATGGTTTCTCCATTAAATTTTGTTACTGAGAGAAGATTATTTAATTATGAGTTGTTCACATTCAATTAAATATTTAATTATTGAGGAAAGGCTTTAACCTCTTACTGACATTTGTTATCTTCGTTTCAGGTGTGGATGGATGCAGCTTAGAAATTGAAAATATTGTTGACATTCGAACGGAAAGAAATCGCGAAATAGTAATGAGGGTAAAGACAGGTATTCAAAACAAAGACAAGATTTTCTTCACCGACTTAAATGGATTCCAGGTGAATTAATGAAATTGTATTTAAGAATAACATACAAATTTATGAATATTCAATTAAAAAGTTAATAATTATATTTATAATACAGGTCTCCCTCTAATTAAAGACCACCTCAAATTATATACCACTTTTTTATGCCTGCCGCTCGCCAAAAATTATGATTTCGAATAAAAATAAAATGTTATTTTATGCTAATTAGCGCACCTGACACCACAGAAAATGGAAATTTTAGAAAAAAAAAATAAAAGTTTTTTCTTTATTTTTTAATTAACATTTATTACATAATGGTCAAAGAAGAAGAAAATTTTTATTACGCCCACCGCTGCCTTGAAATTTCCAAAAATAAGAATTGCCTATTTCTATTCCTAATTATATAAATTTAAAGCACTTAACCATCCCATTACTACAGTGTTTACATTCACCAACAACATGCCTTTTATCCCTATTATTGTAATTAGAGACCAAGTCTGATAAAAAAAAATCTCATAAAAACCCCAGTCCTAAAAATGGTCTTTAATTGGAGGGAGACCTGTAATAATATTAATGGGATTATTCTGTGTTTTTGCCAAGAGATACAATGTGCTGGCGATGTTGTATAACTTCTGATTATTGGATCCATAATTAGCAAACCAGCACAAAGCGCAACTTCCTCCATTCCCTGGGGGAGTAATCGTAGTCGTGGTTGCAATTTAATGCTGATACAGACTGAAATATTCAATGCCACATCATCCTACCAGGTACCGTACCCATTCATACTCCTTGGTGGAGAGAGAAATGTAGGTAAAGTGCCTTGCCCAAGGACACAAGCGAAATGCACAGTGAAGGCTCGAACCTCCAACCTCAAGGTTGAGAGAATGAAATGCGACCACTGCGCCAACCACTCCCACTTGTAGTATAAAGATTACTTGATTTATTGATTGAAAAAATAAGATTATTATTAATGATGTTAAATAATTCATTTAATGTTTAGATTCAAAAGAGGAAAACATTATCCAAACTCCCGACGCAAGGGAATTTCTATCCAATGGTGAGCATGGCATATCTTGAGGATACAACGTCAAGGTTCACCGTACACTCTAGGCAAACCCTCGCAGCAGCCAGTCTGGGACAAGGTATAACATGGTCTTCTTAACTAAGTTACCTATCATTAAATCACTCACATGTCCCTCATCATTCCATCTAACCACACATGTTTATCAACTACTTGGTTCGCTCTAAACTTAAATCTAGTTATCTGGATAACTATGTTCAGATAAATGTGACCATCAATTTTTTTCAGCATGTTATATTTCATTTTTACTTCATCTTATCCCACCTTTCCCTCATCTTACCTCGCATGTTTCATATTAGCTCATGTGCCTCATCTCACCTTGCATGCCTCATCTCACCTCATGTCTCATCTTAGCTCACATGTTTCATCTTACCTCACATGTCTCATCTCACCTCACATGCCTCATCTCACCTTACATGTCTCATTAACTCACATGTCACCTCTCACCTTGCATGTCTCATCTCACCTCATATGTTTTATCTTACCTCATACCTTTCATTTTGCCTCACATTCTCATCTTACTTCACATGTTTTATCTCACATCCCATGTCTCCTGTTACCTCACATGTCTTATATCACCTCACATGTCTCATCTCACCTTGCATGTTTCATCTTACCGCACATGTTTCATTTTACCTCACATCTTTCATATTACCTCACATGCCTCATCTCACCTCACATGTCTCATCTTACCTCACATATTTCATCTTACCTCGGATGTCTCTTATCTTGATTCTCCTCATTCTTCCTCAAATTTGCGTAATATCCTCATTCCTCCTCATGTTTCTCATCATCTCACCTCACATGAGATCTTGGGCATGAACACATGACATGCTAATGCAATAAGAACTTTGTTCACAGGGTGGCTGGAGGTGATTATGGATAGGAGACTAATGCAAGATGACAATAGAGGGCTCCAACAAGGTGTGATGGATAACAAGAGAACACCAAACAAATTTAGGTTTTTATTAGAAAGACGAGAAAAAGGCACTGAGCCTGGAGTAAGTGATTGTATATTTTTTTAATTATTGTATTAAAACAGCATTGGAATTTTTAATAGAAAATGAAATATTGTGATATATTGGTGATTAACATGACTTGTTAACAAATTTAGGTTTTTATTAGAAAGACGAGAAAAAGGCACTGAGCCTGGAGTAAGTGATTGTATATTTTTTTAATTATTGTATTAAAACAGCATTGGAATTTTTAATAGAAAATGAAATATTGTGATATATTGGTGATTAACATGACTTGAGGGAATTATGATGCCATGTTTCTATACAGTAGCAAAATAGCAGAAGATGTTATATGGAATTATAATGTAGTTAGATTTATATAACACTTTATACCGAAATGCTTTTAAAGTGTCAAGTTGTGGACTAGCTCATATAGTAACTTGCTTCTTCTGTAAGGATCTCTGTGTGTCTGAGCTTCCTGGTAAACCGGTATCAGTTATTCTTATCTGTCCACAACAGGGGATGAATGGACCAGTTCACCGGTGTAACCCCTACTTGTCTCGAATGTTGTACTGGGTTCTTTAAAGTGCACATGCACTGGAAACTTTATTAGCAGTGTTAACTTTCTTAAATTATGTCAATGACTTTTTACAGAAATTTAAGACTCGGGGGGGGGGGGGCGATGCCCAGAAGAATGTCGACGACTAAGCAATAGGTGAAACAACTAAATTTGGTCAACCTGGTAATTTGCAAACAGTACTCGACACCATTTACAACTGGACCAATAATAATAAACTTAAGATTCCCTTCCAAATGCCAGGTGATTAGATGTAACTTTGGTCGTCGACCACATCAGCCTCCACATCTCAAATGAAAATCTTCCTGTTGTAAATTCAGTAAAGTTAATGGGGGTAGTTTTTGATAATGACCTCAAGTGAACAAGTTATACTTACGGTATCATTGCCAAAGGCAATTGTGAACTTTTTATTTTGTTTTGTCATTGAGGAGACCCAGTTTCAATCTTGAACTCACTTAGTAGTGAGACCCTGGGGTCGGTGATCTCTTCGGTCTGAACATTTGACACAGAGGTGCCTTGCCGTGCATGACTCCTGTAGGTTGGCAGAGAGTGGGGGGTTTTTTTAAATATTTAATATTGTATATTTTTTATATATAAAAGAATTGTTATATATATATATATATATATTGACTCAATTGTTAAATTGCTCTTTAATATTTTCTTATGTAACTCTTGTCTTTGTAATTTTGGACGTCGTCTGACTTTTTAATGTTTCCAATGTAAATTTTAATATTTAATATTGCACTATTTTACTAATGATTTGTAAATTTTTAATTGCCAATTTTATATTTTTGTAATTTTATATTCAGTCTCTCAATTCACACATGCTGCATGTCTGTTTTGTATGTGTTTTTTTTTTTTTGCAATAAATATACCCAAATATATACTGTACATATGGATTTTTTTTGGTTGTGATTTTGCAGACAGACAATCTTCCCGTTGGTTATCCATCCCTCCTAAGTCATGCATCATCACTCATTACCAACCATCCGGTATACATCCATACTGCAATATCGGAGAATGCCAACGAGGCTAAAATCTTGCCAGAGTTTGAGATATTCCAGACGCCACTGCCGTGCGATATTCACCTAGTCAACCTGAGAACACGAGTGGAACAGACGACCAATATGGTAACAGCAAAAGATGAATCATTAGTGATTTTACACAGGCGAGGTTTTGACTGTTCTTTCCCAGGCCCAGCATTAATGTGCAATACAGATGAAGGCAAGGTAGGTTCAACTAATGTAAACAAGAGATGTTATATTTATATATATATATAAATATATATATATATATATATTTATATGCTTTGTTTTTGTACTGTATGTGCGGTCAGGAGATCCCTATGACAGTGACTTTATGTTGCTTTTGGGCAGTCCAGCCAGTCATCCATACTTTTCTGTTGTTTTTGACTGGTCATTTAAAGTTGATTAATTTCAATGTAAGTCTAGGCCATAATTTAGTATTCTTTGCCAACCATTATTCAGTCAAATCAGTAAATGTAGTTTGATTTATATAGCACTTTACAAGAAGTCTCAATGTGCTCAATGCGTTGACTAGCTGCTATTACAGTAACTTCTTTCACTCTTAAGCGTGACTTCGTGTTTGAGCAACTCAGCAAACTGGTGCCAGCTACTCTTGTCTTTCCACAACAGGGGCTGCTTGGCCCAGTACACCACGGTAACCCCTACTGGGCTTGAGATGTACTGGGTTCTTATTGTGCACACAAGCCCATTGTGTACAATGAACCTATAGTTTATAGTCCTTATCCAGGAATACTTGCATGCTGCTTGAACCACTGCAAATATTATAGCTAGAGGTCGTAGTGCCCCTGACGTAAAATCCAATAATATTGATATCAATATTATTGATATCAATAATATTGATATCAACAATATTATTGATATCAATAGTAGTGATGTCAATAATATTGTTTAATTTGTACTTTTCATCTGTTACAGGTCAGAGTTAATCAACTTCTAAAAAGTTTACAGGTTTCACATTTGCAACAAACTTCCTTATCAGCTATGTACGATGGATCCGAGCTAGCCCCAGATGCGACCGTTACTATAGAACCCATGGAAATCAACACATACAAAGTAAAACTCGGCTGAGACGTTTCACCGCAACTATTGTTGTTTACAATAATCGTTTTAGGGTCATCAGGTTGCTGAATATTCATGGTGTGTTTCTATATGCATGTTTGAATATTCAAGAGTACTATAAATGAATTGTAATGCACCAGTCAGATTTCTCTCTCTCTGAAATGAGTAAATTAGCAGCGGTTTTAAAGTCAACTGTTTATCAGTGAATAGGGAGCTTTCGCTTTGCGCGACGACGTAACACTAGAACAGATCCACTCTTGCGTCATCGTCCTACGTTCTCTGCACAAAGAAGATTCGGCCAAATTGCATCCTAGAATCCATGCAACAATGAGACTTTAACGTTCTTGCATGCACAGTTGACTTTTATTTATTTTATTTATTTATTTATTTATGTGACATCATTGTGTTCTACATCCTACCGTTGTTGTGCAGTCAAAAGCTCCCTACTGACAGTCAGATATTCCTGATATGGAATGACAAATACCAAGTACTAAGTAAGTAAAGTATTCATATGTTTTTTTTATGATTGAAGTGTGGTTATTCAGCCATTAAGTGAAGCATTCCCCCATTAAATATAACGTCCTGTATCAGATACCAATTCCAGACCAGTTCATATATTGAAACTAGGGATGTGATGTGAAAAAATAATGACAGATTTATGTTTAAGTATGTTTATTTCATCTTTATTGCAATCTTAGGATAAAAGTATGTGAAAGTATATTGCATAAATGATGGATAAAGAGAACTTTTACTTAAAAAATATTAAATTATTGACTGTACACAAAAAATCTATACACCAATAAAACACATCATAAATATTTTGAAATTAATTGATTGATTGATTGATTGGAAAGTTATTCAACAAAATATAAAAGTAGTACAATTTAATAATCTTTACTGTATTATATAAGAGTATATCAATATATTAGACATTAAATTCATAATTAATATAAAATATTAATATGAAAATTTTAATTTAGTCAGACTACATTGTAAATATACATTTAAATATTATGAATCAACAAATTTACATCATACAACAAATCTAGTATTAAAGTATGATAATTGGGGAAAAAGTAATAAAAATTAGTTACATCTTTACAGATCCTGAAATGCCAGCCAGCTGAACAAATAGTTGTCTGGCATGAATAAAAATTTAAAAAACTTTAAAAATATAAAAGACGAGTTTCGAGCAAACTCTATTTGAATTCTAATAGGGCGCCCCCTATCTCCTGGCAGGACCGTTTTCTTTAACGTTTAATTGGGTACATATGAAATCAGGGCAGTCGCACCTCTTGAAATTCTATTTTGTACTCATTGCTAGTACTAATTCTTTGTAGGAGCAAATGTGCTAAGATACTGTTTCTGATTCTGTTTCTGATTTCTTAAATTTATTTTTAAAATTTAATCTTTAGAACATAACTTTATATCTACCAATTTTTCCTTTCATTTTATTTTAAATTCATAACAAAGTGAAACATAGCTGCAAACAAGACCAAAAAACAGTGGTCCAGAAAAATGCGTAACTGGCTTTTAATATTTAAGCATTTTAAATAATATCTAAAATCACTTAATCATAACAAAGTAAAACAGAATTACTAACAAAATTATCTAGACAAGACCAAAAACAATAGCACAGAAATTGTGACCAACCCAGCTAAGTCATCAATTAAAATTTAGTTTAATTTAATTTATTGGTTATTTATCTTTAAATTATACATTTGTTTTTGTGCATAACATGTACATTATTGATAGATAATTTTATTGATGAACAAATCATGGTATATATATATTCTTTATTAAATTTTAGGAAAGCAAATCTTTTATGACAATTTAAAAATGAATTGCTATTTTAGGGTAACTTCTTGAAAAAATGTTTAGGGCTTTTTTTTTTGCTGAATTTAATAAATTGTATTTTTGATTTTTTGTTTTTTATTTTAAGCTGGTTATTGGGGTTTGGTTTAAAAATGAATTGTTATTTGGTATTATGTCATTATATGAACATTCTGTAATTAGGTAAACTTGATTTCTGTATTAGTTGTAATTGTATTTTGTAGATTTCTTTCAGTAGCCTAATTTTAGGATGACATGTATTTTAATTTCTTAGTAAACTGGCTATAGAATTTCCAGTTTTTATTCTTTCTTAAGAAACCTATAATATAATAATGAATAAAAATTACATACATGTGATATAAAAATCAATGAAATATAGTAGAACACCCTCCTTTGTGGCACTCCTATTAAGGGGACACTTTTTTGGCCACAAAAAAGGACAGAATATCTTTTAACACTACCAGCTAACTCCTATCCAGAGGACACTTCTATTCAAGGGACACCCCTATTAAGGGAACAACACTTTTTTTCTCAAATGTGTCCCCTTATAGGGGCTCTACTGTATTTTCCAGAAATTGAGGGAAAACTCATGTGTAAATAGATAAAATAGATTGCTTATACTTTATAGTGTACAGTATCTGTGTACCTTATTTGTATGTTGATCATAGAATGGAATACAGTAGATTGAATGATAAAAGACAGTTAATTCAGTAAATATTTTCATTTTATATTTTCCTTTAATTGTTGACATTTGCTATTACGTTATTGTTATGAAAATTCTATCACCTGAAATTGCCCATAATTGTATCGTTTGTGGTTTAAAATGATTTGCATTTTATTTGATAAAATGGTGAAATGTGATGTTTGCTGTAAATTGGACAATACACTAGCAGGCAATCCCCTGGTGTTGGTTTTTTTTTCCATTTTCAGTATTGCATTCTTTAAAGCAAGGTGGGCATAAAAATCGGTCGGAGACCCAAAGTGAATTTTTGATTTAACACTGAGGGCCGCACCCAAACTTTGTTGTTTCCAGTGTGCTTCCAAAAATCAGGCTGCACTTTGCCCAGATGTGCTTTAAAGCCTGTTTTCCATAAAATTGCTACATGCTATAGACAACTTCTTCGGTGTTGCTGATTTGTTCATTGAATCGGGGATGGAGCCTTCCCGATTGCGTCAGGGACAGCTACGCAGTCCAATGAATGCAGTGAATATGCTGTCGCAACTCTGGTCGCAACAGTGTAGCATTTTTATGGAAACACCAGGCTTAACATGCACGTAGGCAGCCCATGATTGGGGTCACTGCACAGTTTTCGGGGTCACTGCACAGGGGTTATCATCAGTTTATTCAATTGTACTAAACAACTCTTGTTCATGTTTATTTCACATTGGCTAGTTTCCATAAGGTGTGATATTTAATTACAGTGTATTCATATAAAAATTAATTTCATCCATGCCAAGATAATGTTTACTTCGTAATGAAATGGAATGATTATAATACTTTGTGAAAAGGCAAATAGTGTTCAAGAAGTTTGCTAAATTATGAACACCTGTACTGTATGAATTTTATGTAATATCGGCCATGCTGTGGCGTACCTAAGAGGGTGTTTAAGTGCGCACTTCCCCAGAAAATGCTTGGTTCCAGGCTGTCCCACTGGACTCGATTAATAATAACATCATACCACCAGAAATCGCTAGTTGATTACCCATCGCTCTTCCCCACTTTTCCCAACTTAATCCTTGCACCCTCATGTTAATGCTCCTGGATACGCCACAGCAGCCGTGATATAAAGGCAGGATGAATACATGGCACAAAAAGCATTTATCATTCTATCAAATGCACCTTTCTGGTATGCCAATCAAACTTGAAGCTGACCAATCAAACGCCAGAAAAACTTGCACAAAAGCTATTTAATTATAAAGGTCCTGCAATTTAACAGCAGCACGGAGCTTCCGATATGTTCGACGACGCGACGCTAGAACGGAATCACTCATGCATGACCGTCTTTAACGTTCTCGCATGCGCCGATAACTTTTAGCGACGTCATTACGTTCTACGTCCTACCGTCGTCGCGTGCAACCGAAAGCGCTCTAATATCCAAGTTGCTTGGCAATAGCGGAAAGGTCCATTGTGTAAATATCTTAGGATAGCCTTTTCTTACAGGAAATTGTAAATATCAAGATGTACATTTTATTGAGAATTAAAAACTGATCAAAACAGAATGACATGACATGAATCTTCCGGCATACATTTATTGCATTGAGTGTTAAAATGATAAATAGTATAGGCAGGGGTCCCAAGTCTCCTGGAACTTGCGGGAGTCCCCCAGAAATAGGGACGGCCTCCCGTACTCCCGCAAGCAGCCAAGAATCTCCCAGATATTAACCCATATCCTGCAAATTCATAATATTTGCATGTTTGCACTGCTTTATTTTCATTTGTCTCACGGAAGTCATTGCCAATGTGTATCACAATGTGCAGCCAAATAAAATAAAATGTTACGAAATCTCATTAACCACATCAGTAATCCAAATCTGTAAACATTTTTTTTTTAATGGAGAGAAAAAGAAAATCGTATTCAAATTTTAGTCCGAGAATGTTATTTTCGGCCATCTAGAGGTGCCATAATCATAATTTTCTTACCTCGCCCTCAACGATGGTGGGGGCTTAGGTAGTATCAAAGAGAGTATCAAAGAGTATAACTATGGTAGTATAGACCCCACATCTGTGATAGCCCCTCTCCCTGGCCCACACTGCTATTGCGAATTCTCGGAACCATCACTCCAGATCTCCAACACATGGGTGGCACCAGGATTTGCTCGAGGGGGCGTTCGAAGTCCTGGTATAGGAGTATTTTATATTAGGCCTACCGTATTTATTCTAAGAAACGCCCCGAAGCGTTTATTGTTCAAAAGGTTTTTGAAGATAGGGAGTTCATTCGAGGGGGAGTTTATTCGAGGGAGGCGTTTATTCGAGGGTGGCGTTTATTTTTTGGTGAAAAATGGATAATCATATTGACCTACACAAATAAATTCCCCTTAATTTCACTGTAAATGTGGAACTATAACATTTCCCCCCTCCCTTTTTTCACCAAAACCCCGGCTTTTTATAGCGAGTGTGAAAGAACAACAATTACGAATGACTATGTCATGAATTTTGAGTTATTCACTTGTGCTCTGTTCAAGGTGCGATGCGTATTTCCGGACCAATACTGAGTAAAAACGCAATTTTGTAGGCCTACATTAGTTTCGTAACCACTCGGTATTCACTCCATCGATTTTATTGGTGCAATGGTTATCAGCGGCTAAATTTATTATGAAAACAATGTACTGTACGTTGTTAAAATTGGAAGCCTGTAAACCTATTAGGCCAACATTTTTACAAACTCAAAAGTGCACAATTTCTACTATAAACGATTTATTCATTTTGTATATTATTAAGACCTGTATGTGGTCAATATTATCGGCATACATATAGCCTAGTTCCTGTTTTTCCAAATTTTAAAAAAAAATTATAGTTATACAAAGCAAACATGTAAAACACTACTACAACCAAAGTTTTTAAATTAATCAGATGTAACGTGGATACAATTTGTTGTTTAATACAATGCTCCATCCAATTCGAGACCCGGCCTCTAATTAGAAACCCCGCTAATTCCTGACGCTTTTCTAAAGTAGGCCACCAACTAAAAATGATAACACAATTCTAACCATGCATATATTTTACATTTAAACAAGCTTTAAATAATTAAGTACGGTATCTCAGTGTGCTTAGAACAATTGCAAATGCTGATACTGTATTTATTTGAATAAACTCACCCTTCCCCCTTCCTGGGAATTAATTTTTTTACCTCAATTAACAGCCACACCTAAATAACTTTAACTAAACAAAACTAATAGAAGCAAAATCATTCTCAACACCTTCTATAAATGTGTCTTACTTCATTACATTTTTTCTGATCTGGTTTGGATAAATAATATAAGTCTTTATGATCACGCAATAAACTCATTTTCGCAGTAATTATGTGAGTTCCACATACACTAGAATTAAGGGGAGTTTATTTGAGTAGGCTACAAGCAGTGGCGGCTGATATATTTTCTGTGGGGGGGGGGGCTAAGTTGTCCGACAGTGCAGACTTGAGCTCGTAGGCTCGAGCTGGAGGAAGGGGATTTTTTTTTAAAGAATATCAACGTTTGGATGGCCGAAAATGGCACTCTCAGACTGTGACAGTCTTGACTTGCCCGGTGGGGGGCTTAAGCCACCCCGCTGGCGCCGCCACTGGCTGCAAGGCCTAACCATTTTATACAATAAATAAATAAATAAATAAACCCCTCCCTCATATTTATTTTCTCAACCCGGCCTTTTCAGTAATTAACGGCGCCCCGGGGCGTGGGAACGGGCGCCGCCACGGCATTTAAATAGGTTATAGTTTAAATTAAACCTCTAGATGCTGGGGATAAGTCGAGACTATTTGCATGGGTGGCCTACTATAATAAACTAAAAAAATCAACGATATAATCACCTGTGTGCCAGGTCTATGCTTATAAAAACTTAAAAACAAATACATGATTTTTTTAAATTGTTCCTGTTGAAACTTGAATGAAACATTTGTAAAACATTCCTCCACAATATAGACGTAATCAGGATATGTTTTCGTATACAAATCAGCGTAGGCCTATATAAAATAGCGTGCGTATAGGCCTATTTTTGGTACGGTAAATCAGGGAAAAAAAAAAAAAAAAAAAAAATAGGCTACTTGTTTTGATCTGTGTTTTGGAGGCTCCTCAAAATCACTTTTCAGCAATACACTCTCCGGGGTGGGGATCCACCTCTGGCGCCGCCTCTGCATTTGATGTCTATAGTTACAAAAATTAAACCCCCCTAGAAGATGCTGAGGGTAATATCTTTCGTCGAGACTATACAGAGGCTTTTATTTATCGTCTGTGAAATGCTAATTAAACTTTTAAAATAAATCAATCAATTTTTTCTTAGTTCCTGTTGAAAATTTCAATGATAAAACATTTCCTCCACAGTTAAATAGACGTATAGCCTAAATACAGTTCCTATATTTTTGCAGACTCTTAAATTTTGCTGTTAATTAAATTTTGTAAATCAGCAAAAAAAAATATATACAGTGTTTACAGTACTTGGTTAGCGTACGTGACGTTTTACTGGATGTATATATAAACAAGCTATTTAATATTGTAATTGAATTGTTGAGGTTTCCGATTTTGTGATAGACAGTTTTATCTTTAAAATGTGCATAAACACGTAGCCAAGACACGATTTATGTATAAAAATATTCATAATAGGACGTGGCGATACTCAAAATAGAGCCAAATTGCAAATTGTATGATGCATAGAAAATATATCGGTACGGTGGCGCACTCTATCTCTGGAGTAGTAAATTAGCGAATGTTTACGTTGCGTATGTCTGCTTTCGGTGGAAGATGGAAAGGCGAAGGCCTGGCTTTGGCCATAATATGTGATTCAACAAGTATTGAACTTAAAACGTGTAAATTTTCTAGTTTAACTGTATTCGAATTAAGACCTGCAACTACTTGGAACCATAACAGATAGATTTGTTGCTGGGAATAGTAATAGTATTTCATTAAATTCTAGGCCTATGCCTACTACCACCAGCAGTAGAACCACCACCACCAGCAGTAGGCTATCTCTTCACCAGTTCAGAAGCCCGAGGAACACATCAAGCTAGTGCCTTTGAATCAAGTTTTATTATGGCCCTGACCCTAGGCCTAGGCTAGCGTACAAGCAGGCCTGGGTTATTTCATGTGCATCAGATCAGCCTAGAAAGAACCAAAATACTATTGTTTTTTCAGCATAATTCGTGGATTTTGTTTTGGCTTTGACTGTAAGTGTTCTTACTGTTAGCACCATCATTATACAGTAATTATTCCATTCATTCTGCTTGTATTTTGTATGAAAATCATACAAAAGTGAGTTTCTTGACTTGTCTATATAATCTAGTTACCTCATAGACTTGCTTTCTAAGATGGGTGTGAATAGTAGCAGTATTGGTGAACTGTCTTCAAATGAAAGTTTAAAGACTCTTGCAGGGAGTAAAATAATAACAGAAGATGACCCTTTTTGGAACCAACTCTTGTCCTTCAAATTCTTGCCACCGCAAACATGCTCTGATGCGCGCCTTTTAGAGGAAGCCACAAGTTCAATTTGTAAACAGCTAGGTAAGTATATTTCTAATTATATAACATGTATAATTGTAAAAGAGTATGCTGTTTTTTTTCCCTGTTTCACAAAATATTATGTTGTGCTTGCACAAGGATGTATTATTACAAAGCTGAAAGCTTGTACTGAAAAATGCACTCAACTATATGAAACATTCATAATAGTAAATTGATACAATATTTTGGTAAAATCGTGGAAAGGATGCTGAAACGTTTATGCAAAATTTATATTTTATATTATATTTATTTTTGTTGATAACTTTAATTGTCTTTTTTAGTTAGCAATAATCTTCATTATGTTTTTTTCTTTCAGTTAACAATAATCTTCAGACTGGGAATTTCTGTGCATTAGTAAAAGTATTCTTGAGGCGAGCAAATGAATTGAAGACATCTACACAGTGCAATGAGTAAGGCAGATGTCTTAGCACCCTATATCTATATTTCAGTAGTCAGTGTAAAACTCTAGCAACACTATAACATTTTATGTGACAAATTTGTGTCTATGTGCCCATATACAGGCTCGTAGCGTGACTTAATTTGTGGGAAGTTCGTTTCAGTGGAAAGCGGACCCTTTGGCTTGTGTGATATCCGATACTCTGGAGAACATTGTAAATATACTATATCTACGAATATAAATTTTTCGTTTTTAACAGTTTTTGGACAGTTCGTTGTAACCCTCTTAACCCCCCTCCCCTCTACGGACCTCCATGTACCAGACTGATAGTAAGGCCTGTGCGGGGAATATATCTGCCGCGCACAAATTTGGCACAGATATCTGTCCACGCATTTCGAAAAATAACGGCTGATCAAAGCCGAAAATTAGGCTTTGACCAAATCTTAATATATAACCAATGCAATTATGCAACAATTACGACTCCGCACATCTAATTCCTGCGCAAATTTGTGTAGATTTTTTAGATATCCTCCGCGCAATTAAGAAACTTTACAGTTTAGCCAATATAGTCCATAGGGTCATGCTGATGTCATTACACCCAAATATGGGCATATCACAGTTAATTGTCACATAAAATTTTATATTGTAGACAAAGCTTTCAGTGAACTAGGTTATATGATGAATAAATACTTACCATATAATTTGGTTTTTTTTCCCCAGCTTTTTATTCACTTGGCAAACTTACAATGCGTTATTCATCATACGCTGTGTTTGCAAGTACATGCTAGAAAACATATCAGAGGGTCGAATCAAACAGCAATTCAGCGTTGTACAGCAAGAGGGCGCTGCCAGGCCTGATGGCAAATCAAATTACGTACTTGAAGACTTCCTAAATGCAGTTGTTAAAATTCTTATAGAAGTACCGGTGTTGTAAGTATGAATTAATTGTAATGTATGTTGTCGTTTTATTGCAATAATAAAATAATAACAAGTGGTTAATTATATTGCGATGGTATCAGGGGCGGATCCAGAGATGTCCAGTAGTGGGGCCCGAAAGTGGGGCCTATTGGGATAACACCACCCTAGGGGGTCCAGGAGCTTTCCCCCGTGAAGATTTTGTTTTCTAGACGCCCAAAAATAACATCTGAAGCATTTTGGGCTAGACAGTGGCTGTAGGCCTATCTAATCTATGCCTAGAACTCACGATACAATATTTTCAGCTACTGTATGGTATTCCCCTCGTGAATAAAATTTAGGCCGCCTGTAATATATGTAATCAGTTGTTAAACATTTTTTCTTTGCAGGGACTTTACATACATGCTTCATCTGGAAGGGGTGACGTTGTTGTTGATCATGCTGTCTGTCCAGATGTTTATTCCGCGTGTATCGCATGAAAGCATCATATTCCAGCTGTTGATGTCATCATCTTGGTTAGTACCTATCTGCTTCCTTTATAATGTAGCAAGAGGACTTTCCTAACATTGGGTATAAAGAAGGGTTGAGGTGTGGCTGTTATTTTATTTACCACCACTCTTATCACAATGGAAATTACCCTTGTACCAATAATTACAGATTTAATTAATTTATAGCCTATTAGATTACTTACTACCACCGCATGATAGCTTTACATGCCTGCTGATGATGAAATGAATTAAATTTTTAAAGTATGTCAACAAATATTTTACCTGTCACAAATAATACCAGAACAATTTTATTGAAACAAGAGTTTCAATATCAAAAACATCCCATTCTCATCGTATCCTATTTCATCTTATCAACATCCTTTCATATTTTCATATCATTTCATCTCATACTAGCTCACATCACATACATGTCATCCAATCCTTTCTCATCTTTTCTAATCACATCTCAGCTTATTTCATTTCATCTCATTCTATTCCATGTCATCAAATTGTATGGCATTACTGGTTCCCTTTATCTGTTTATCATGATTGTTTTGATGAGGTCAATAAAAGTTATTGCTATATCTACAGCAGCAATGTGTTGTTCTTTATAGTTCAAAGGATGCACATGTTTTGATCAAAACTTTGCTGGACCATTTCATTGAGCAAAAACTTTGTCCAGAAGCTCCATTTGGCTCTGGCCAATCAGGAGGCAGCTTCCTGTATGGAGTGACATCTGCTGTTGCAAGTAAGACACAATTGAATTCATGATTTTAAGTAAGATGAACTGAGAGTAGTTACTTGCTTGTCTTAAACAAGCTTTTTGAGTGGACTTGTTAATAACGATAATTTCAATTTGCCTAATTGGAAGGTGGAAGGTGGGTAGTGGGAGGACTAACTTGGTAATGATTAGAAAGGAAAAGAGACTTAAAATGTATATAGTACTAGTAGTGCAATACAAATTTGTAAGAAGACTGATCTGCTTTTTAATTTGTGTCGTAATTATTGAGTTAATCTACTTAATGCTATATTTTCACTTTGACTGTAGGTCAATCATAATTTTGTATTTTGTAGTAGGACATTTTACGGTAACTCGATATTGTTGTTTTCTTTAATGTATTTACTAAGGTGTCACAGAAGGCTGTACTAAGTTTTAAATTGTTTTGTTTTTAAGCTGGTCTCTGGACAGTAATGACATTGGGGTATGGTGCACCAGCAGTCCAGGAGGAAAGCAAACCTCTGCTAGCCAATCAGAGTCTACTATTGCTGCTGGTTTTGGGTAACCATGACGTCCACCGTGGCGCCCAGAACCCATATCGTCAGGCGTTGTGCACTTTTTCAAACTCACAAGGTAAGTGAGAAGATAATTAGTAGGTGTAATGTAGTAGGGAGTTAGAGGAAGATAGACTCCTAAACAGTGAAATGATAAGCTACTTTGATTTCATCCTTTAATTAAAGGGAATGTCTTGCTACTCAAAAAGAAAGCAATTAGAATTCGAGTTTTAAGCCAGGCACTCACTACAACGTATGGTGAATCCATCTCCGCTAACTGTGTGCGCTTGACAATGCGATGCTGTCTGCTGATTGTCAACGAATTGTTGTTAAAAAACAATCCATTGTGCGTACCTTATAATTTTGTCACCTGACAATTGTCGGCATAATGTGTGCCCATCTTTAGAGTAGAAAGCTTTGTCTACACTATCAAATTTTATGTGTGAGAGTTGGATGGCTGAGCAGTTAAGTCAGAGGCGCAGCAACCTAGAGTCATAGTATTAGTATTGGCGCGTAGGCCCAGTGTACATACTTTGGCTTGGCTTATGTGCATTTAAAAGAACCCAGTACATCTTTCGAGACAAGTAGAGGGTTAACCCGGTGTACTGGTCCATACAGACCGTGTTGTGGACAGACAAAAGTAGCTGGTTTACTGGGTAGCTCAGACATGAAGAGACACTTAGGGGAGAAGCAAGCTACTATAAGAGCTAGTCAACACCTTGAGCACTTTGAGATCGTTTTGGTATAAAGTGCTATATAAATCTTACTACATTGCGTAATGTGATGAATTTGTATACTGTAAAACCTCGAATTGAAGACCTGTGCTTATTTTTTTTTTGCGAACTTTGGATGGGCTTCTTTTCGAGGCTACTTTTGCAAAGTAAAGACGTGGAGGGGGCCTTCTTTTCAAAATGATTGCTGTAAATTTTGTGAATTTGTTCTATAAAACAATAAATAAGGCCACTGTAAAATCAATCTGTATCATGGAGTGCATTTAACTGGCATTAAGCTTATTTTTAATTTATTTTGTTTTTTGAAATTCATGTTCTGTGTACTGTATGTACTGTACTATCTCAAAAAGAAGCCTATGCTATCCTAAAAAGAAGCCCATGAGCTTTTTTTCAAGGCTAATTTTGCAAACTGAAAAGTGGGAAGGGGGATTCAATGGAATTCATCTCGATATTAAGCCAATTGGGCTTCAATTCAAGGTTTTACGGTATTGCATCCAAATATGGGCATATCATATATATTTTTCACATAAAATTGGATAGTGTGGACACAAATTTAGATAAGTTAGAAAGGGGTTAGGCCTACTGTAGTTGAGGTTGAAAGGATTATTCTGTTGTAAGGAAGAAATACCATACAGTAGATCTTATTGTTGGAGAATGTAAAAGAGATTCATGAAAACAAATAATTTTTGGTTTTTCAGATGGGGGATCAGCTAACAGTCTTACTGGTCAGCTTCCACCATTCAAACTCAACTTTTCCAACCTGTACGAAGCATTTTGTCATCATTTTGAAAGTGATCAAACGACCCTGCTATTTTATTTGCTGTTACACAGAAACACAAACTTCAGACAGTGTGTGCTATCAAAAACCAATATTGATAACCTGGTAAGTAATACAGAGCTTAAATTTGTTTTAAAATACAAAGAAATTTAACTCAATTTACATTTTTTTAAATGTAAATAGATGTAGCACAATGATGCTTTGGGCATTAAATCTAATTTTACTATAAAATCCTAAATCTATAGTGTTTAGTCATGAGAAAATTTCAATGGCAGTGGCTATTGTTACACCATTCTTGAATGAATCCCTAATTCTGATTGGATATGATTGTCCTAATACAATCCTTACTACAATAACATGCCAATTAATTAAAATTAGGGATTTCTTTAAAACTGGTATAAAGGCCTGGTCACACTTCAACGATAACGATAATGATAAAAAAGATAAAAAACGATTGTTCATGTAGAAACCAAAAGAAATAAGAAAAGTTTTTACATTAGAACGATGCGATAATGATTTATCAGTTATGCGATACCCACATATTTGGAAAAATCAAATCAGATGATGTCATAATCATGGAAAACATTAAAATCGTCGTAGTAGCAACGATTTTATCATTTGTCCATGCTTATGACGTCATCTAATTTAATATGTTAAAATATTTTGTTATTGTATACATGATAAATTGTTATCGAATCGTCCTAGTGTATAAACTTCTCTTATTTCTTTTGTTTTCTATATGAACAATCGCTTTTCAGCTTTTTTATCGTTATCGTTATCGTTATCGTTGAAGTGTGACCAGGCCTTAACAGTAGCTACTGCCTTTTTAAATACATGGGCTGCCAAGGTTCAGTTAGGGTGCTAAGCTGTTGCATCAAAATCTCTCGAAACATAGCACTTTTTTATTCCTTGTAAATTCACTGGCAGTGGTCCCAAAATATGTATTATTGCCCGAGCAGTACAGAGAAGAAATTGAAAGCAATAATCTAAAAATACATGCCATTTGTCGGTTGATGTTCCATTGATGAGAATGATGCTCATAGTGATGGCACCTTTATCCCTTGACATATTGCCAACAGCTAGAAAAAAGGCTTCTTGGCAGCCAATATGAAGGATATGAACCCAATACTCTAGGATTAGAAGACTAGTACCATAGCTATCACTACCATGATACTTTGTAGATAAAATTTCATTATTGGCATTCTGTTTTTTAAATCTTCTCATTTTTATTTTTTCAGGTCCTTCCTCTTTTAAAAATTCTGTACAATGCACCAGATAGTAACTCACATCATATTTACATGGCATTGATAGTTCTTCTTATACTCAGCGAGGATGATGCATTCAACAAATCTATTCATGAAGTAGTAAGTATATACTTTTATCAAGTAGGCATTTGAGGACCAAAGGGGGTGGAACTTATAATTGAGAGAGGAAGTGAAGATAAAGAGCTAGCCAGATCTGAAAATGATGCTAAAATAGAGTACTATAGATAAACGCGGATAATACTTAGAGATAATGCATGTCTTAATAAATCATCTTTGTGCCCCAAAACATAATCCATAATTGTAATTAAGTAAAGTATATTGCATTAAATAATGTGACTGTATTTGACTTGTTTATTTATTGCAGTCTGTGAAGACAGTTACATGGTACACAGAACGATCCATTTCAGAGATGACACTTGGAGGACTGATTGTTCTTGTGGTTATACGCACTATTCAATACAATATGACAAGAATGAGGGTAAATATTATATCAGTAATAATAGATACAGAAATATAAGAGAATGTTCCATGGGCTCAAGAGATTCCAGATTGATTTATCCACATTGCCTATAACCTAGGCCCCGGGTATTCAACCTTTTTAAGCTGGTGGCCATGGTCAAACTGTTGGGTCCAGTGACTGGCCTCATTGATATTGTCGGCAGGCCGGAATAGGCCTGTGGGTCATGGGTTGAATACCGGAGTCTAGGCCTAGTCTAGTTAGGCTCAATGCAAGCCTGGTCCATGTCATTCAAGGCAACAAAGAGACAGTTATTGGCTTACAAAGTAGTAGATCATTTTCTTATGTCATATTTTCCATAATCCTTTTTTGTTAATCATCTTGTGGTCCAAACAAAAACTTGGAAAGATGCAACAATATGATATTTTCCCAATACTACATTTACCTAAAATAATTGAATATTATACCTTCGAAAAGTTGTAGAATATGGTAAAATTGACAGATATAGTAATGTAGTTATAGTTTAAAGATGGTACAATATATTTCTCTGCCACCCCTAATTTATAAAATGATGATGTCACAATTGACTTATAAAACACAATAATTACATAAACATACTAGAATGTTTGTTAGCTGTTATATAGGCATGATGGTGGATCAGTTTTTCTATTTGTATTCTGATTTTTTTTTTATTTCCAGGACAAATACTTGCACACAAATTGTTTGGCAGCTTTGGCAAATATGTCCTCCCAATTCCACTCCCTGCATCCTTACGTAACGCAACGAATTGTAAGGTAAGCTATAAGTTTAATATTATGTAACAGGATGTCTATATATGTTTTGTGTCCATTTCATGAATACTTAACCTAGAAAAAGGAACTACATTATTGTGTTGCCATTGTTCTTTTATATTAACAGCCCTTCAAAGAAAATGGTATCATCCATTCCTAGACACTACATGACCACCCCCAATACTCGTGTACTTTTCATCATTCCTAGGAGACTGAAACCCGTACTTTTTATATGTTTTGAATTTGTTAAAAGATACAAAAAATGTATTGTCCTCATAAATGCAAATAATTCTATTATACACAGAATTCTGTAAATCATCATTATTATTATTATTGCCATTTATTATTTTTATTATTATTACAGTATTATTTTTATTTTTATTTATTATTTTAATTGTTATTGTTTTCCTTTATCTTCTGTAGTTTGTTTGAGTTGCTTAGCAGAAAACATGGCAAGATAATAGAACAGCTCTCACATGGCTCCTCAACAGTTGCCAACAGCCACATGGATGAGCAAGATTATGTAAGTACAGAAATAATGATATATGCGAGAGATGAGATATAATTTTTTCAGCATTGCGTAAAAATGTAGGTCTTTCCCTGTCTGTCGAAAGTTGAACGGCGTTCTATTTCATCCCTTTAAACTTTGCTTTTATATTGAATTTGTATTTGTTTCCATAAAATTAATAATTCATCATCTTTTCCGGTACTGTGCAGAAACCTCTATTTGTGGCAGTGCCAAGCCAAAAGAGGGATAAGTCAAACAGGCAGTTTTCCAATAATTGCACAAACGTAAAATTGGTCATTTTTTTCGATTATTTTTTATCTCAAAAACATACATATTAAACATTTAACTTTTACCTTTCTCTGATTTATAATTGATAAATGCTCTAAAAATGGTATTTAAGAGAGCTTGTCCCAGCTTACAGGCATAAAATCCTGAAATATCTAGTGTCAAGATCTCAGAGAACAGCCATTTTTCGTAGCGTTTTCTATTTCCGAAATTGCAAAAGTAGATGCTCGTCTCAGTTTGATGAAAAAATATTAATAGAACTTAATTTTGACTACAGATGCTTGCTGTAAGTCAAGGTTAGTTTTATTTAATTTATAAAAAAAAAATGGATCCAAATTTGGAATAAATACACTAATATAACAAATAAACAGTTGTGCCAAGTTTTCAACCAATTCTGTGTAGAATAAATACCCGTTGCTAAGGACAGATGTACAGGCACCTTCAAAGAACGCGATTTTTCACAGTAAACTGATAAGCGATTTTCAAAGCCAGTTTTCTCAAAATACACTTACCAAGTATCCTAAATTTGATTGCCCATAACTTTGCCATAAACTATCATATCAAAGTGATTTTTTTTGCATTTTGAAGATAATAATGTCTAGTTTCATATATGTACAAAACTCAAAAAAAAAAAAAAAAATTGAAAGTTTCGACTTATCCCTCCTTTGGCTTGGCTCTGCCACATTTATAGAGTATACTCGCACATTGTATGTATTGTTTTGTATCAATTGTAACAAATGATGTGGTTGTTTTTTAGATGGCAGATTTGGCTGTCCTAGAGGAGGTGCTGCGTATGGTACTGGAAATTATCAATTCATGTCTTACGAACACCATTCACCACAACCCTAACTTAGTATATACGCTTCTTTACAAGAAACATTTATTCATCAGCTTTAAAAGCAATTCCAAGTTTCAAGATATTATACAGAATATTGACACGGTAAGTCTTGTAAAGCCTTGTCCTCACTATCACATTTTATGTGACATTTTCATGTATTTATTGGCAAAAACAGCCCAGGGACCTGCGTCAGCAACAGCAGGCCATGAAATCACAAGTGGTGCCCGAAACCCCTGGAACAAAATATGTGGTACACTAAAACTTACTATATTAAAATCCTTACAATCTGTGTCCATATTTGGGTGTAATATGGCATTTTTATGCCCATGGGCACATCACACAAATTTGTCACATTCCACAAATTTGTCACGTCACACAAATTTGCCACGTCACACAAATTTGCCACTTCACACAAATTTGCCACGTCACACAAATTTGCCACGTCACACAAATTTGCCACGTCACCAAATTTGTCACGTCACCAAATTTGCCACGTCACACAAATTTGCCACTTCACACAAATTTGCCACGTCACACAAATTTGCCACGTCACACAAATTTGCCACGTCACCAAATTTGTCACATCACCAAATTTGCCACGTCACACAAATTTGCCACTTCACACAAATTTGCCACGTCACACAAATTTGCCACGTCACACAAATTTGCCACGTCACACAAATTTGTCACGTCACACAAATTTGTCACGTCACACAAATTTGTCACTTCACACAAATTTGTCACGTCACACAAATTTGTCACGTCACACAAATTTGTCCCATACAATTTGATAGTGTGAACAGAGCTAAAATAATATTTAAAAAAAAATTTGGTTAACAAACTTTTATATTTAAAAAGATCTTCAAAGGAGGGTGGAAAAAGAATAAGGAAAAATTGTTCTTATATATCAAAATGGTTCTATGAAAACCCCCAAGGCAGGGTGAAAATAAAAATATATGATTTTTTTACTTGAAAATAAGCAGCTTTTTGCCCTTGCTTGAGATACTATCGCCTTTTAATTTAAAGAGTGCTTTGTTGCGATGTAATAAGACTGATAAATGATGTGTATTTTTATTAAAATTGCTACAATTTCAGGTGTTGTCATACTTTTCCGCTCGTTTGGATCAGCATTCAGAAGGTAAAAACCTTTCTGTTGAGGAGGTCTTGGAAATAATAAGGCAAGGAATGATGCTGTGGAACAAAGAAAGTTTGCGGGTAAGATATTTGTTTATCAAGATTTTTTCCTTCATTATTAAATTATGTATAATATAATATTTGTAATTTTTAAAAATATTTAATATTTATTCATACAGAAATAGTATATTAAACTATTTCTATATGACTATAATGTAAAAAATAGCAATAATAATAAATAGAAAATAACTAAATATTAATGGCAAACAAGAGATTACCATTAAAGTTTGATTCCCAAAAAAGACTTTTATATTCAACTAACAATAGATAGTACAGTAGAACCCCTCATTTACGTACGGCAATGGCCCAGAGCCGTTCGTAAATGCGGGTATTCGTAAAATCGGGGTTGACCCAAATTCCTATATATTTGCACTGGTACTATTTACACTGGCATAAACTAGGCCTAGGCTAGCCTACAGGCCTACACAGCTAAGTCTGAGGGGGCCTAGGCTTACAGTAGGCAGCTTCTAAGAATTCTGATCCCACTCAGGACCTACACAAATTTGTTTTTATCGGATGTTTTTACCTTCTTAAATACCTAGATTATGGATTTTACTCCAACACAACTTCCATAGATACAATTGTTTATTATATATATTGATCTTTCAATAAAACAATCAAGCACTATGTTGACTTTTAAAGCTGAAAATGATGTTTGAAAGAGAACACTGACTTTGGAGAGGGCTGTTAGAGGGCCTCCTTCACTTGAGAATTACATAGTACTGTATAGTATGGTGTGTTGTATTGTATGCATGCTAATAACAATTACAATTCGAGTGGATTTTTTTTTTTTAATCTTTCACTTAAATTTTTTATGACGTCATCACCTTTATTTTACGTTCGTAAAATCAGGAATTCGTTAAATCGGGGTTCGTAATTGAGGATTTCTACTGTATATACATTATCACTATAAAGGTAAATCATTACCGAGCCACTAAGGCTTATGACTGAAACATATTTTTGTAGCGTAAAGGGAAAGAAAGTGTGAAGCTCCCCCTGGATGGGATGCTAGTCCATCGCAGGTACTCCCAGTAATTTGCTGGTACCTATTGATAAAGCTGGATAGACTGAAGCAAATGTAGATAAAGTGCCTTGCTCAAGCACAGTGAGGGATTGAAACCCCCGGCCTAAAAGGTTGAGAAACCAAACTGTTCACATTGCGCCAAACTTATTTTATAACATAGAATAAATTATTGAAAGATCGAATGATGTTGATTAGAATTGCTGTTAAAAATCAAATACATTATTCAATAATGTCTATTCAAATAATTAAACAAAGGTTATTATGTGTACATGAACCACCAACATACATCGCATTGCAAGTTCACTTGTACTTATATGTCTATTGTGTAAAGACAGTGTACTTTAGAATAAATTTAAATTTTGTAGAATAAATTAAATTTATGAAACTTTGTAATTATGCCTTTCGGTAATGTGCTTTGCCCTAAGGGCAGGTTTATGCTCATGGTAATGTAACATGTTCAATTCATTTATTAAACAAAATTTCAATTGATCTTCATTCATGTGAGTCCTGAAAATCAAGCAAAGAAAAAAATCACTTGGAAAATAGCCCATCTCTCTGAAATTCATGATTTTTGCATGTTTTCAATATTAATGTATTATCTATTGTCTCCCGATAAGTAATCACCATACGCTCCACAAAAAATATTAGATGTGTTAAGAAGGTTGATCTAAACAGAAATTTTAATAATTCACATTTTAATAATTCATTCATGTGAGTCCTGAAAATCAAGCAAAGAAAAAAATCACTTGGAAAATAGCTATCTCTCTGAAATTCATGATTTTTGCATGTTTTCAATATTAATGTATTATCTATTGTCTCCCGATAAGTAATCACCATACGCTCCAAAAAAATATTAGATGTGTTAAGAAAGTTGATTTAATAGAAATTTTAATAATTCACATTTGAATAATTCATTCATGTGAGTCCTGGAAATCAAGCAAAGCAAAAAATATCTTGGAAAATAGCCCATCTCTCTGAAATTCATGATTTTTTCATGTTTTCAATATTAATGTATTATCTATTGTCTCCCGATAAGTAATCACCATACGCTCCAAAAAAATATTAGATGTGTTAAGAAAGTTGATTTAAACAGAAATGTTAATAATTCACATTTGAATAATTCATTCATGTGAGTCCTGGAAATCAAGCAAAGCAAAAAATCTCTTGGAAAATGGCCATCTCTCTGAAATTCATGATTTTTGCATGTTTTCAATATTAATGTATTATCTATTGTCTCCCGATAAGTAATCATCATACGCTCCAAAAATATATTAGATGTGTTAAGAAAGTTGATTTAAACAGAAATTTTAATAATTCACATAATGATTTGTAAATATTTAATCTGTAAATTATAAAAATAAATAATTGATTTGTAGATATGATGCATAAAACTTTTACTCGTTACAAATCTTCAATATTTTTTTATCTTGTTTTTGTTTTACTCTGGCTTTTCCTTTTAATATGTGATAGAAATAGATTTGTTAATATTAACTCCTGTGAGTGGCTTTTCCAACTTGAGATCCCATTCCCATAGCTTGAGCCATCCATTCAGCATCATCTATCTATAAATGAATCCATAAAAACGGGTCTGTACCATTGTGTGCGATCGTGGGCCGGCTGCATGCGATCGTGGGCCGCATGTTGCCATATTCTTGTATTTGCATTTGATATTTGGCAATAAAAGTGAATGAAATGAAATTATATATCTACATTGTCTTTTTTTTCTATTTATTACTCTACTACTTTATTCAATTCATGCTTTAAGAGTCTATGTATACTTGCGTGCCTTTGATCATTTATTGATAATGAATGTTTGTTTAATATTATTGATATTATGGCAATTTTTAATTGAATTAAAAACCATGTGGGTGGGGCCCTATTTATATTCTTTATCTAGAAAATCCCCTTTTTGTTTAGGGCACAGGTGGGCAAGGTGAAGCTTTTGGGCCAAAAGTGGCCAGGTGGCAATTTTGTTGTGGCACGCAAAAATAAATTAAAAACCCTATGTGTATGACTCGTCTACCTTAAGGCCTGACACAGTAAATCTGTAGAAAGTAATTATTAAAATGTATAAAGCAATATGACAAGTATATAAAGGTTTTTCAAGCACATTGTAAACTTCAAATTTTCATCATAAATTTGCTTGCGGCCCTCAGTGTTAAATCAAAAATTAATTCTGTTTGCAGGCCAATTGGTTACTTATCAATAATCTTGGAAATATTTCATTTATTTTCCTTCTGTTTTAAAAAAAATTTAAACAGAAATTTCCAGATTTAAAGTTTAAATACGTGGAGGAAGAGGAACCAGAGGAATTCTTTTTGCCGTATGTCTGGTCGTTGGTGTATCATTCCTCCAACTTGTACTGGGATGCCGATCGCATTGAGCTATTCAATCTCAACTCGCAGTGATAGAAAGTTAGGCGGCAGTATTATCTAATTTGCATACCAGTATTTAAAGAACAATGTTTAAGCTCCACCAACAAGAAATGTCAACATGTTTTTTTGGAATTCGCCAATTCAGCGTCATGGGTTTTATCACGTAGTGCATTGTTTACTGCGGAGGAGGTGAGTCGGCACAAAATTAACTGTTGCGACTTTGTTTTTCAATTTCTAAATTGGATTGGTTGAAGGATAAACAGTAAACAGACTGACTGTGACACAGCATGCTTGAAACAAGACCACTGTTAAGATCTATCCGGACTATCAAATCTTATTTGACAAAACCATGTGACATGCCTGAATATCACATCATGACCATATATAGGCACATCATGACTATATATAGGCACATCATGACCATATATAGGCACATCATGACTATATATAGGCACATCATGACCATATATAGGCACATCATGACTATATATGGGCATGCAATAATTGTCAAAGTAATCTGATAGTTTGGACAGAGCATACAAAAAAAAAAAAAGTCCAGAATTTTAGATAGCATACTATAACCAATTGATATTTTTGGAAAAAAATTGTATTTGTAATTTGATTTAATCATAAATGACTAATTTATTTGAATCCATTTAAACAGATCTTATGGATTTGTAACACTTTGAATGAAATAGATAAGAAATTTTAAAATGATTTTAAGAATAAATCTCTCATAGTTGTTTCACATTTCTATGGTTTCTTATAGATAATTATTTTTATTATTTAAATATGAAAATGCATTTTACTCAATGGTAAACAGGGATTTTAATTAAGTTGATAGTTAATAAAAGTATGAAATATTAATTTTTTTGTTTTTAATCTTATTGTGATAGATATGCTTAATTATTTATATAGTGTCTTTTGCATTTCAAAGATTGTGTCAAAGTGCTTGAAACATATCACCCAGGCCCGAAACTGACTGTCCCACTCCTTGCATTGAAAATAATCAAAATGATGAATATATATAACATTTATATGCTTATTTCAACTCCCAGGCCCTCTGATCTCCCCACAGCTCTTTTTATGGACTACACCAGGGGGCCTAAGCCCTCCCTGGACACATGGCTGTCAGTAGAACCCACTTTTTAAAGATTGCTGGTTATGGGCCCCTGAATGCCTATGTCACTGAATCCATACTGACAAAGTTAGTTCAGAATCCTCCGCTTTTACCCACCGATTAATTAATCAAAATACATTTCAGCAGAAAATTGAAATGTTCAAATGTTGTAATGATTTTAGTGTGGCTAACACGAGATGTTGAATTATTTAAACAAATGTGACAGTTAAAATAATAGTGATTAACTGAGATATTGGCTCATTATGGGTTTATATGTATTTAGAATAGTCTTTAGTCGGTATTGAAGAATATGTTGATAATTAATCAAGAGAGTAAGTAATTCTTTAAGAAATATATATTTTCAGCATTTGCAACCTAGACACTCTGCTCATCGTTTAGTCGTTGAAACAACTAAATTTTGGGACAAAGTTCATTATACTCCTTTTCTACCGAAAGCACACATTTTCTTTAAAAGGTACACCGCAGAATGATTCTCCTGGTTACAAAATCAAAAATTGAGTTTATATTATATTTAGGTAAATCACATTATAAGCTTTATTTGGTCAGTGAATGGCTACCCTGGGATAAGTAAATCCGTAGATGTGAGTATTTAAAATTTAGGTGTATGAGAACCATGTCTTGAGAGAATCGGCCTCAAAGATAAACTAACCTGTACAAATAATAGGACTAGAATCATAGAATATGTGCAGAGGACATTGTTTTAACTTTTAGTATGAAAATTCACTTAAAAGTATGCAATCATAAAATATAAGTATCAAGTTATTCAAAAACATTAGAATCAAAATTTTGTAAAACTTTTTACCTTGACCTATTTTTGATGAATATCTTTATAATATGACTTCACCTCACATATGACATCATCATGCCTATATATATATGGGTGCGATATGACATCATTCAAGCTCATATATTGGTATGATATGACATGATCATGCCCATATATATGTTTGTATATGACATGATCATGCCCATATATATTTGTATGATATGACATCGTGCCCATATATGGGTGTGATATGACATGATCATGCCCATATACTGGCCATTCAGTGCATCAAATTGTAAATTATATATCTTTTTGGCCAATGTTCATTCAGATTTGAGTACAGTATGTGAACAGGTTGATACTGGAACTGTTACTCCATGGAGTGCATACCTTCGCCCTGCACCTGAATACTGAATAATACATGCAGGGCGTTTAAGGATGAGGCAGGTGGTTCCCTTATTTCTTTTTATATGTGAGGTTTGCGTTGCAAAGAATATTTTGAATTCAATCACCTCTTCCTTAGATCCAGTATGCACCACTCCACTAAACTAATTCATTAGTGCTTTTTTTTGTATAATCCTGCTTAGTAACAGCGCTGAATACATAATCTAATTGGTGGAAGTAAAAAAGAGAATGTATCATCAATTAATTAGTCCTCATTGAGTGGCTAGGGAATTTACGCAGGAGTCCCGCACCAGCCTCAGTGCTCTCAAAGAATTTGTTACTTTTGTGCCGCATGGAGCACTGGAAATATTTTTTAGGGAAAGTAGGAGAAACATATTAGCTTGTAGTAACATTATCTTGTAGTAAGCCTATGTTTTTAAATATGAATTAGAAAGTGTAATTAGAAAAACAAACTATGGGATTGTCTATTGCCAATTTTTCAAATAACTTATTTGCAAAAAAAATGTTTGTATAAACATTTTTATAAGAATGGTAATTAGGTGTTGATTGTTATTAAGATAGATTTCCTTCAGCTGGTTATAGTTTAACAATGCATCAGATATACATAAACTCATAAATATTATATGGTATATGTTATTCAGCTGTTTGTCATGGTTGGAGTTTGTAAAGTTCCAAAGAGGAATAAATGGAAGATGTCCACATACATAATGTTGAATATTATCAGAAAATAAAATTTGGTAAAATATAATGCTGTTTATTATTGTACATATATTTGTACTGTTCACATATGAGGCATGTCATGGCGAAATTGGTTAAGGCCAGTATTGAGTAAATGAGCTATAAAATATGGGAGCTCAAAAAATTGCCTAAAAATCCAAATTTGTTTTTCACTATAGATCAATAGTTTAATGTCTTAGTAATCATGTCCCAAAGTATTAGTTCTGGAAGTGGTCAACAAATCGTTTATTTAACGTTACTTTGATAGTTAATTCTATTAAACAGTGTATGCACAAATAACTTTGAAAGGCAATTACTCAAAATCATGTTTATCTTGACTCTAAGAGTGCTGTATTTCACTTTACAATAATTAAGGCTTGAAATGTCCAATTTCAATGAATGGCCCCTCATTTTAAAGATCACATACACTGGTATCTGAAAATGTCAATAACTTGAATTTCAATTTTTGCTAAAACAACCATTTTGCCACATGCCTCATAGATTAGTCCCTTCACCATCTGTTGAATTCATTCATTTTTGTATTCATATGAGATGACTAGTTGTCCCCTTAAATTCTTAGTAATCGGCACTTGGTGTTTGAACCTACTTACTGACAGTGGCGTATCTAGAAGTCTTGAAATGAGGGTGCTGATGGGGGGGGGGGAGATTGATGATCAGTTGAGGGGTGATTTTAGGTGATTTTTAAATATTTGCAAGTGATCTATATATCTGATATATATATACCTTCGCTCATAATACTCACTTTTCCATATACTGTACCGTCTCTCTTCTGTATTGTACCTTCCCTTTATGTTTTTCCCTATAGTCTGTTTTCTTTATTGTACCATCCGTAGTGTCTTTAATTTCCCTTCATGCTGTATGTTCTCCATTTTGGGATTCCACCCTTTCCTCAAATAACAATCCAACTGCAATGTCATACTACAGATGTGACGAATTTCGAACTCGCAGAGGAACTGTGGGAATGAGTTTGTTTTGAAGATGACAGTGATGCAAGTGAAAGTTTAAAAAAATGATACGAAACACATTGGTTAGCGTTTGTGTAACAGATAATTTGAAAGTTCCTCTGGGAGACGAACATGTGGTTAGAGGACGTGCTAAATTGTACTTCCTATGTTGCTTTACTAAAAACCGTTTAGAATCGAAATATATTTCAATCAGATAATATAATACGGTAATGATAATGGTAATTAAAATCATAATGATAATGATATTTGCAATATATTAAACAAAAGCCCGTATTATTATAGCTTGCTATTATAGGCGCCAGTCCGAAAAGAATGTTTATTTGTTGTTCCTCACGATCGCATTTTATATAAAGGTATACCATCTGCCTATAGCTCTATCCAGTTTATAACTTTTCTTGGACAAAAAAAAAAACAAAAAACAAACAAACAAATAACAAAAAAAAAAAAAAAAAAGCGGCTGTATGCCCAAAAAAAAAAAAAAAAAAAAAAAAAAAAAAAAAGCGGCTGTATGCCCATATTATACCGGTAGTCATGATATCATCATGACCATATTTGGGCATGACACTTTTTTAAAAACTCATCTATTTTCATCCATTTAGTTCATATCTACATTGTCTTTTTACGTTTCTATTTGATCTCCACTAATTCATGCTCTACGTAAAAAGACAATGTAGATATTGTCTTTTAACGTTTCTATTTCATCTTTACTAATTCATGCTCTACGTATACTTTCGCGCCTTTGATAATTAATTTTGAAATTGGCGCATAACAAATATTTGTTTAGTATTATTATTATTGTCAAATAGAATTATGATAGTCTGGACTGGACTTTAAATAAACACCTCGATAAACACCTCGTGAAAAAGTCATTGAAAGTTTGAATAGCTTGTTTAAAAAAGGGGGTAAAAATATGTTATTAACTTATAACTTAACCAAATAACTTTTCACTGAGTTACTGAATTTTTACGAAAAAAAGCCATAAGTTGGTTACCAGTCTATGCATTATTATTTGTACGTCTGCTGTAAGGGGGTGGGGATCTAAAGGGAGGGAAACGGTGGAATGTTAACCCACCGGTCTTGCCACTGGCGTCTGTTTTTTAACAGAGAAAATACAAAGAGGCATACTCTAAATTTTACAATATTTCATAAAAGCATATCGTACTGAATACGACTCATATTATTAGTGGATATACTTCTTTTTTTTTTCTTTTTTTACCTCCCAAAAGGGGGGCCGGGGCCGGGCCGGCCCCCCCCTAAATCCGCCCCTGTTTATTAATGAAGATTATATACAGTACTTAGCAACGTACACAAATATAAAGGATAGTATAAGCAATTTGATTGTTGTTTATAGGCCTATGCTTTTACCTTCACTAAAGTCACGCGCAGTTGGAATCACGAGGAAGTATTATTTGCGCGTACAGTATTATTATTGAATGTCTTCCAGCAGAATACACTATCAAGTAACTAAATGCAAAATGCTGTATAAAATGTTTTTCTTCAGCTAGCGGAAACGGGCAACTACGCCCTCTGTTGTTCAAAAAGTTTTCCATTTGTTGGCTGAGGTACCGTACCGTACATGTTCTACGTGAAATATTCTTGTGATAAGTTATCAATATTTTATCATCGAGTTATTGCTCTTATTCTAGACACTGGAATAATTGCTAAAACTAATGAAGTCTGATCATTTCAGAGTCGTTAATGTAAAATAAATGTTGCATCAAGTTAATCGGATTATCTAATCAGACGTTAAATTTATGTTGACGACACAAGAATATATATAATGCATTTACCTTATCCCGAATTTATCTGTAATTGAAATAAAACCGAATATCACTTTGAAATCAGTTGCGCTAATGGCAACATCAATTTCACATCTGAATAATGGTTCTCCCAGTCTATAAAAATTAGCCATTCGTATGTTTTCCTTACCATGTGCTTTTCTCCCCCACCCCCGTTATAAATATAGGTTTATGATTCAGTGCTGTGTACTTCCGCATTTGTGACGACTCAATTCTTGAAGTTGAGTTGAGTATATTTAAATTTTTGGCACTGTATTATCGCGTGGTTTTCTTATGATGTGTTATATACCTACCTCTTCGATGATTTAACAACTTGCTCACGTCATATCATCCTTATATAATTGTATGTATAATTGTATGAATTAAAAAATACCCTTTTCAAAACGCCTTAACCGATCGATTGAGAATGACAGAAAACGCGCCATATCCGTTTCTCGGCTGTTCACAATGTCTGGTATTTCAATTGTTCAATTATGATTTGTGTCAGATGATAATTAATGCTTCATTTTGCCTTCATGAAATACTAAGAATATATTCATTTATAGGCCGTTAAAAAAGACATGAAGTTAGCTTTTGAATACCGGATCAAAGACTTGAATGAAAAAATGGAGGATGAGAGAAAACCCGGCGCGAACGATGGGAAGCGAGGCGCCTGGTGGACTACGAGTCGTCCTTGAGTTCAAGCTAAACGCTCTTATAACTTGACTCATTCATTAACCATTAACAGTAAGCAACTAGCTGTTGTTATTATTTCTAATTCCCGACCAACTTGAGGCCTTTGTTAGTGGCGCCGTAACTGTGTAACACGGTAGCCCGCTGCGATACACGTTTCATTCGACCGGAACACAAATCGTCAAGTCTTTTCACAAAGATTCAAAGCCTATGCGCGCGTCAACAACACTTTATGCAAATGATGTTGGATTTCAATTAAATGTCCAAAACAAAACGACTGTTGTTGGTGAAATCAAATTTGATAATCAGACTCACCCTAATGTATGGTCAGTCTGGCAACGTGGAAACCGATAAGCTATTAGTTATTAGAATAAAAACCGTGGTGCCATTACATTTACAGCAAAGAGACTGTCTTAATACTTTCATTAATTGGCAAGTAACAGATTATCAAAACATGTTTCTGGGAGTATTAATTAGGTTGGGTACCCGCAAGGCAATTTTAGTTATTGATTTTTGTCATTACGTTTTGCATTTTAATACGCCTTGATTGGTATTGTAACTTTTGATAAAGGAGAATGATATAAACTTACGATAATGATACGACAACGTTTATTGCAATTTTTATTAAAACTATAATCAAATGCATTTAAGCTCTTGAAAATATACTACCTTCTTTGATGAGCTAAAGGATCTTGAACAAATATAATTCAAAATAAAAATGTAGCTCGGACACGAACAACAATCATCACCACTACGAATAGTAAACACGCCACCACGTACAGGCAGACGACCATGAGTGTGAACGGTCTTTCAAGAATTAGTGTTAGGCGCTCTCCTGTCACACAGGCGCAATTATATTGGTCATATATTTGGCTCCCCTCTCTGGCCATTTTAAAGATTTTTCTTATGTGTGCCGAATATAGTACAGTACATAAATAGATAAAAATAAATTTTGTCAAGAAACTAAGTTTCTAAAGTAAATTCATTTGGATCAGATGTATTATTTTTATTTTTGTTTCACCATTATCATTGGACTGATGCCTTACGTTCGATGGGATAAATGAACATGTAGTTGGAATAATTTTCCCCCAAACCCAAGCACACAATTTAAGAACCCTCAAGTCCCCGTTACTCCTCTCATGATCCTATCCCCATTGATATAAATACGTTTGTGACCATGACCATTGTATTTGATCGGCTTTCGAGTCGAGTCAGCTTTGTGATAAATGAAAGACTCTCCCTGTATGCCTATGCATTTCCATTGAGTCTCTTGGCTTTACCTCATTGAAATTCATTTTTTGTACCTGACAACATATATTTTTTATCAGGAAAGTATAATCATAGAGAAAATAGAACAGTGTGTGTTCTATTTTCTCTATGGTATAATATTCCTATTTGAATATTAATTCCTTCTACAATAGACACGGATATTTAAATCAATTTTTTAAAATTTTATTTTAAATATGTATAGGCCTATATTCGTACCTAATTCTTCTTTAGTTAACCAATTGGAAAGATTTGTATAGTTCACTGTACTGTATTAATTTTTCATCCCGGGGAGGGTAAGGGACAGCATAAGCCCTGGTCCTCCTGCAGATCCCAGCAAAAAATAACAGACAGAGAAATATTTACGTCAAAACCAAAATGGGAGTAGGCGTAGGGTCCTTCGATTATAACTGCTACTTACTATATTTAATCTAACCTTCTGGTTTATGGTCAATCAAAAATAATATAAGTTCAACTAAGTTTTATCTGCTGACCAAGGAGGCGCTTCGTTGACTATTAATATTGTGTGAATTTGGCAAGTTATCAATTTTGTATTATCAGCGAGGCGCTATCCTGGTTCTATCAAAAGCAGAACGTGAGAAAGTTCCGAGACCAAGACTGAAACTGTTTCGTCGTATGTATCGCGGGTATAGATACATTTTCGCCGCAAAAAACAATCGGCAAAAGTCTACTCGACTCCTCCTTTTCAGAATCACAAAAGAGCGTTATGGAACTTGGGCTTTGCACTCCGACAACTGACTCCATTTGGATATTTAGCACAGAAGGGGCAAGGGTCAAAAGTTAAGCAAGCTATTTACCTACTGTTTGCCAAAGTATTTGTCATTGTGTACGATTGCGTTGCGGCCAATAATTGTCGTATGCCAGGCGCCAATGTTCTGCATACCAACAATAGCCGGGGGATTTGTCCGCTATCTGGCTTCGTTGCTTGTGACGTCATGGCGCTAGTTTGGATTGGCATCCTCCATTATTGAACGGGGGTAACTTTTGCTATATTGATGTAAACCGAATTTGCATTATTTACGTTTTTCAGACGCTTTGGCTTTAGGCCATGGGGTGAAGCTCAAAAGACGTCTAGAAAACGAATTCCGTTCCGATTTTTTCATTATAAAAAATTTAGGCCTACAATAGTTAAGTAATATGTCTTAAATCAAATATAAAAAGTTCGACAAAAATATCTTCTGCAATTTTAAGATAATTACCGTTTTATTACGTTCCTAGGCTGCTGGTCGTCGGAAAACACACCGCGAACGTATTCTGCTCACAACGAATGAAGTTGAAGTATAATTAAATTTTTAGCCAGTAGCAGTAAACAATGTTATCATCATTATAATCACGCTACCTCATTGACATTATTTTAACAGAGTATTGATTTTATTTTTTTTAATTATTCTTATTAGGCCTATTCATTATTATTATTATTATTATTAGTAGTAGTAATTATATATAATTTATCATAGGGCTATAAGCCTGTATATAGGCTAAATATACTACCTATAGGCCTATCGTTATATTATTATTTTTCCATTATTATAATTATTATTATTGGGTGATAGGCATGTAAATTGATTGATTGATTTAAATAATTGTATCAGGTGTATTGTAAAGTTTTATTACGAATAATATAATTAATATGAATTTAAATTGAAAAGCGTTTTGATTTGAAATAATGATGAGGGTTGATAATGCTACACAAGATAATATTTTTTTCATTTTTAGCGAATCGTAATCAATGTCATTAACCGTAGGCCTATTCGAAAGGAAACTAGTTTCTAATCTGATTAAAAAAGATGGGCTGCGAAACTCGATAAAAATAAGCGACTGTATATATGTAGTTTAGTGTTTAAGAAATAAAACGCCAAATGAGGAATAAGACCCTCTAATGCCGACGCACTGTCCAGTAATTCGGAGACGTGGAAATTGCTAACCCTACTCCAATAAGTAATGGCTTGTCAGTATAATATCAATTACTAAATGATTCATTATAGCGATAGCCTTGCTGACTGGATTCCGCGAAGAAACGTTCTATCCTTTGCATCTCTTACAGGAAGCCAGGCGCTAGCGCCAATTCACCCGACCATCGCAGAGTGTAAAGTGGCGAGCCAGTGTGGCGGGTCTTCCATAAAGCGGGCTCCGTGTCATTTACGCGTAATTTGATCCTTATAATGTGTAGGTCGAGTTTCCTCTGATCGCCTATCTCGGCCAATGAGAACTTCGCTAGAGGACTGTTACATTTACCACCAGCTACCATTTAAGTACTTCATAACAAATAAAAATAACTTTCAGTAAAATATTGTTTTGGAAATTTATTTTATACTGAATCTCTTTGATATAAATTATGCACTTAAAAAGAATCTTATATACGTTTATTACCTTTATAGTAATAGTCATTTTACAAATTATTTTTGCTTTAGAGGGGGTGATCTACACAAGATGTAAGAGTCCATCGTATTTCGTGAACAATCGTTTTAGATCGAGCCGCGCCACGGTGTCTAGACGGGCACATGACCAACAATCGACCAATGAATGGCTAGGAAAATCTAAGCAAGCTGATGAATGTTGTGATGGTTGTGAATTGAAAAATCGCGAGCTCTTCTAGGCTAGGCAGCATATAGCAAGTTCGGAGGGGTTATATTGCCGTTTTACTTATTTATTTAATAAGGAAACATTACCATATTGCAAAATTGTTGAATTGTTTTTGTATTTTTATCCATATCCAAGGATTTACAGCGAAAGTCGGCTTAAGTGTCAACTTAAATAGAAAATTGGTTCGGATGCTTAAGCCTTCAAACACACATGCTACCGTGGAATCTTTGATTTTTCAAGCGGGGATGTACACATACTTAGGGCCTAGCCGTGAGTACGAAGAAAATTCGTAAGCCAGGAATCTTTATATTTTAGTTTGTTGTGGTGAATAGTGCCAGTTGTGCCTTAATATTGCAATCCTGAATACTACACGGGATTTTGCGTGCATTTCCTGTGCCGAATGCGATAGTCTAAGTGCATACTCCGAAGCCCAGCCTGCGTCAGCCGTGTTATCATCAGCTGGCGTCGAGTATGCGGAGTTAATCTATGGGCGTTTGTGCAGTAAATGTCGCATGTTCAGGTCGAAGCGTACTAACTATGTCCGTCGCCTTTGGCGAAATCGTGCTACATCTTCTACGGATAGTGAGGAGCAAAGACCATCTAAATTAGTTGATACTCAAAGTAGTGATTTTGAACGGGATTTGAGAGCAGCTTCACATGTATTTTTAAAAAGGTTAAAAGAAAAGCAATTGGAATTACTTTTAGAAGCAGTGGAGAGTAAAGGCGGCGCGGCCACGGCCTGTGCTCTTTTACCCCGTGGCGAACTTAAAATCGGTCATACAACATTATCGCCGGAAATTTTATGTTGTTTACTTTTCCGCTGGCCAGATTTGCAAAATGGCTCGGAATTACGAAGACTTACACATACATGCAAATTCAACAAAGACTCGCCGGAATCGGCAGGGTATGTGTGCTGTAACCCATATCACCTTAGCAGACTTGCCAAAACACCAGGTAAGCAACAAATATTGTGCAAATAATAATCCTATTTTTGTTTGATATTTTAACACAACAATAGCCTTTATTTAAAAAAAAATTATTTAGCAAGCTTTATTGTAATCGATACATTAGCTTACTGTCATGCATAGAATTGACAAATGGTAAGTGACAACATAATAATGTCATCTTATTGTAATCTTATTGCGCTCAATGTTTTAATGATGAATTAATTGATATTTATGATGGTCAATATATCGTAAACAACAATGTAAGTATGCATCACTCCGATGTCGTATTAATTATTGATAAGTAAATAAACGAGTATTGTCATTCTAACACAAGTTCTAATAATAGTACAGTAAGTACTGTGTGGGTTGCACATACACGCAAGTTTTACTGATATTGGGGATCTCCCTTAGCCGTGAGTCGTGCGTGAGGAGTAACCGGGATATTGGTATGGTTTCCTCACTTTCGTAAGCAAGCAAAAATACCCACAAGAAAGTAAAAATCAAGTAAGTAAACAACAAGAGGGTGGGGTGGGTACAGTTTTAACATTTTGCAGGAAAAACTAACAAACTCATTCGGTTTCCCTGCTGTTGAACCACTGAAACTGGCTATTCTTGAACAGCTTCAAAACAACCAATCACTTCATAAAACATTAAAGTTATTTGTTTTTTTTCCTTAAAGATATTTGCCTGTTTTTTAACCAGAAAATAATTACTGCATACTGGTACTTTTGTTTAATTTTATTTTTCCGTATTTATTCAATTGAGGGTAGTTCAAAAACTGGATCATTTTAGACCTTCAGATACGATGATTATACTCCACTTCTTAATTATGAAATATACAATCCAATTTTACTGGTTCTCCATAAAAAAATATATGGAACAAAATTTATGAAAAGAAAAAAAAAATATATGTAAAATATAAAATTACTTAAACAAAGTTAATACTCTCCAAGACGAAAATAAGATGGACATTATGATCGGGTACAAAGGACGTTGAACTAGTGAGTGTAATCCGGGCAATCAATGCGACATATATTTGGAGAGCCCACAGGCAAACTCCAGTACTGTTGCATTAATATGCATGTGCATGCACGTAGACATTGTACTTGGTGATGGGCATACACTTAAAAGCAATCGTTATTTTTGACCACTTGGTTTTTATTGATGGATAACTTGCTTATTGTTTGCAATCATCACTGAGTAACTTTTTAAAAATCAATTAATGAATTAGACTTGCAAATTTAGTAAAGATGGTTTTCTACATAATAATATTTAATATAAATTATTAATTTTCTATTGATTTTTGCTGTAGTATACAGAATTTATGTACATTTTGTATCATTAGTGTGATTAATAAAATTTTGTTTTCTGTAGGTGTAGTAGTAACTGTATTTAACTGTGATTGCTGTCACAGACTTACCAATGTAATAATGAAAGCTTTGTTCCAAAATAAAATATTAGATATTTTATACCAAGTTTATTACATAATACTCGCATACATTAAAGACAAATACTTAGCGCAGTGTAATTTTATAAGATGGAGACACTTATAGGAGTGATGTTTTGCCCTATACCTGACATATTTTCGTACCAAATACTCAGTACGTTCCCAAATACTCACGATTCGGATTGGAATTGAACCCACAAATTCCAGATAACTAGCCTGCTGCCATAAACACTGTACTACCGAGCTTGTAACCACTGTACTACCGTAGCTAGTGTTGAATCTGATCCCGAAGCGGGAACGGGGTACAGCAAATGCGAGTATTGGAAACATACTGAGTATTCGGTACGAAAACAGGTTACGTAGGGCAAAACATCACTCCACATCGAAATGGAGAAACTCTTTATATTATTGGTGCCTAAATCAAACAAACATGTCCTGACTGTTTAAATTTATTTATGTTTTACTCATGTTCTGTCAGGCCTAATTTTACCTAATATACATGAATCAGTGTCTGCTTAATTACATTTAAGCTTAATGGTTTCTTGTGTCAATTGTCATCAGCAACCTCGCATATTTGTATCGTGTGGATTACTTTTTCATGTTGAAGTCTGCTATGACACGGAATTGAGTCCTACATATTCTTGGTTATTATTAGTAGTAGTGTATATTAATATGTTACGCAATTAGTGTTACTCAAGGTATTATGTTCTAAACCCTGGTAAGATGAAGAATAAGTTGCAATTTGATTTCGGAGGTTTTATTACTTAAACATTATAAATTGTGCACGTGCATTGCTTTGCAATTCTTTATTTAAATAACCTATCATTCTGTATTTGTGTGGAATATTTCATTGGTTTTCCACATATGTGTGTCTAACATGATGCCTGCAAACAAAATACATTTTTATTCCTGTTGATGACATATTGATGTAGAAATATTCAATTCCGACACGATGGCGTGCATTTCAATACTTAGAGTATGTAGCTTAAATACATTGATACAGTAGTATATTTTTTACAACTAAAAAATTGTAGCCTTCACTGCCTTGAAGGTACAATGTACTGTAATATTAAAGATTTGTGAAAAAATTATATAATGACGATATTGTATCTCTCCGCTTTACCGTAACGATATCAATTGAAGCTTGGGGGTGTTTTTTTTTTGTTTGACACAAGAAATTTCCTGATATTCATTCTCAAGATTGAACCAAGAGCTTTGTATTTGGTAGGTTAGGAAATTAACTGGCATATCACAGCTTCATCCTGCAGTGTACTGTATCTGCATTTAAATGTGAATACATTGAGAATAGCTTTTGATTGACAAGTCATATTTGACAGCTTGTTCCATGTTATGGTTTCATAATTGTAAATATCCTACAATTGAAGTAAACAGTAATAAATATATTTGATGTGAAATTCTTGAAAATGAACAGCTGTCTGTCGTAGACTACTGTGTACTGTAGCTGTTTGAATATTGTATTGGTAGTTTCCATGGATACAGAAAACTTATTAATTCATATGCTGAAGTCTTAAATCTGTATAACAAACACAGCAGAATTAATAGCTATGACGTGTATAGAAATTTGATTTATATGTTGACATGCAGTAGCGATACTATCCTATCAGCCTCTATAAAAATATAGAGTAATATTTAACACAGACAATTTGAAGTCTTGAAGAAGATGATGAATGTTTCCTCAGCAGCAATGTTGTGCGATTTGCTGATTATCCAATCTTCCATCACTCCGGCTTCATCCAGGTAAAGATTGCGAAAGATTTTTTGCGTTAGATTCATAAATTGACAGATACTGTAAATGTGGCAGGTCTGCATTAAAGTGAAGCGAAGGAATGTAAAATTGTGCTGTGTGAAATGATGAGCAATTGTAAAAAAGAGAAGTACTGTATCAATTCTGCCAGTTTCAGTTTGCACTGGACAGTATCCACTACTATATACTTGATTGTTAGATTACTGTAAATATTTTATGTTTATTTTTGGCCAGCATCAGTCAGATCAAAACAACAAATTTGACTTCTTAATATATTCATACGCTCCACATTATAACCTTTAAGTTGATAGATCATTTGCTGGAATTAACTATTTCCAAAGATGAGTAAAAGTATTACAGCTTTTCTGTACTAAGGTATACAATACTGCCACATTATTGTTTAACATTTAGCGACAGAGTTGCCTTATTAATGAAATCTCTTAAAAACAATAACTTGAGACATAACAGAGTACCTACTTAGAATAGTTCAGTTTTTTTTCTATATACATAGTTCATTTTAGTACTGTATCATAGGTTTAAATTAAGTAGGGAAAGGGAAGGAACACCTGCCTCTATCGTTTGACTGAAAATTGCCAATTTCCTAACTGAAATAGTTGGAAAAACTAAAACCTTGCTCATTTCCCAACTTTAATTTTTTCCGTGATCCGTTTGCTTATCAACTGGCCACTGTCTTTAGGTGGGAACACATAAGCAAAATAAAATGTTTGTTTATATAGCAAATTTTACAGACAGTGTTGATATTTTGCTTCATATCATTTCTAAGTACAATGTGATACAAGAATCTCTTCCTTTTTACGTTACAGAATTGTCCTATCTTCTGCTATATAGCACTCCACCATCCCAGAATATAGTACCTACTGTATCAACCAGGGGAAAATGTACGAAAGTAGGGCCACCTGGGCCCACACATCTCTGGAATTAACTATTTCCAAAGATGAGTAAAAGTATTACAGCTTTTCTGTACTAAGGTATACAATACTGCCACATTTTATTCCATAACCTTTTATCCTCTTTTACCATCTCTTTTTCACTTCACCATCCTGTTCATTAGCTCTACTGTATCTTTTCTTCTTTCTCCACCATCTTATTTCTCCGTCACTCTCTCTTTTCTCCACTATCCTCTTTTTCTGTTGAAACCGTTTCTTTCCCCACTGTCCTCTTTCACAGTACCTCAGATCCCTCTTTCCCACCATCCTATTTTCTGTCATCTTCTCTTCCACCACCATCTCGCTCTTCTTTTTCTCATTGTTTGCTCAAGCATTTTTTTTTTTTTTAGTGTCTACTCTTCTATTTGAAAATAAGTCAATTTACCAAATTTGAGACGGAAATACTAGTTTGCCATCCAGGTCCTGCATTGTGTGTTGAGAACTACCTGCTGCAAGCCCCACACTCTAGTTGACCCCACAACTGCACTTACTATACCAACATCACAAACTGATGTTTATTGTATATGCACAGTTTATAGTGTTATTATTAAAGGCAGTTTCTATTTCGAGGAAGTGCATTTGGCATCATACCTTACTGTATGCTCTGTATGGACACATTTTGTGCTAATAACTGATATTTGTGACCCAAGCTCGCAAAAGGGCTGTAAACTCGCCCCGCACTGTATTGAGAAACAAGCCTCCATAGCCAGAATAATGCGTAGAACGTGAATTTTGTGTGAATTAGGTTTTTGTGTAATAAATAAAGTATAGCATTTAATCTTACTATTCCTGAAATTTTAGTTTAAAATTATAAATAAGATGTAAGAAATTTAGCCATTTTCGGATGG